CCTGAAGGGGACTCCAACAGTCAGATTGACCACCAAAGTAGAAAATGGAGTACGGAAGATGGGATTCGAATCAACTTCGACAGTGGGTCTCTCTGAGGATGATACACCTTGTTGAAGAGAAGTTGTAGCGGATGAGCCGAAGCCTGGCGTGCGGAACTACAGCAACTGAGGAAGCCATATGTCCCAGGATCCTCTGAATGGACTTCACCAGGACCGTCCCGTCCCGTCTTGTCGCATTCAATGGATGTGGCGAGCAAGAGTCTGTTGTCTGTCCCGAGGAAGGAAGTCTTTCTCCAACGTCGAATCCAAGCGGGCTCCAATGAAGGTAAGCATCTGCGTTGGAAGAAGAGAAGTTTTCTCGGTATTAATGCGCAGGCCCAGGTCATTCAATAAGGCACAGGTTGTACGGATAGACGCAAAGAGTCCCTCCCTAGACTGGGACACTAGCAGCCAGTCGTCGAGGTACGGGTAAATCTGTATGCCTTGGAGGCGTAGGAAAGCGCAGTCAGGGGCCATACATTTGGTGAATACCCTCGGAGCCGTGGCCAGTCCAAAGGGCAAAACTGTAAACTCATAGAGATGGGGTGCAACAGCAAAACGAAGGAAACGCCTATAACTCGGGTGGATCGAAATGTGGAAATAGGCGTCCTTCAAGTCCAATGAGGCAAACCAATCCTCTTTCCTTAGCAACAGCAAGATGTTTTGAAGGGTGGTCATCTGAAACTTTTTCGGTACAATAAATCGATTCAGGCTATGTAAGTCCAAAATCGGACGTAAACCACCATCCCGCTTCGGGACCGTAAAGTATCTGGAATAGAATCCGTGAAGTCCGTCAGATGGGAATACTTGACGAATTGCTCCTTTACAAAGAAGTTGATATATTTCGTCGAGCAATACCGGCAAACATGATGTAAACCAGATTGGACTCGATGGAGGAACGATGTCGAATTCTATCTGATATCCGTGCTGAACGATGGACAATACCCACTGATCAGATGTGATGGACTCCAAAATGGGGAGTCAGCTTCGGAGTCGATCCCCAGATGAGAGGGGGGTGGGTTAGAAGGAATTGGAGGAATGGTTCGCCAGTCCCATCAACGCTGCCTCCTGTCATCAAAATGGCGGTGGCTTTGTTGATAGCGTTGTTGGGGCTGCGGACGGCAGCGCTGCTGTTGCTGCTGCTGACGGTGCTGGGGTTGCTGTCTTGGCTGGTAGGACTGCCTGTAAGATGGGCGATTCCATGACCACTTACGTCTGATCTGGGTCTGTATCTCCATCCTGCGTGCCATCATCCGAGATTCGTGCAGCTTTTTTAGTTTGTGGTTGGTGCGGGAGTGGAAAAGCCCGGACCCGTCAAAGGGCATTTCCTCTATACGGCGCTTGGTTTCCTCCAGAAAGTTGCAGCTTCTAAGCCAGGCGTGTCTCCGGAGTGAAACAGCACCGACCAAGGCCCTTGAGTCTGTGTCCACATGGTGCCTGGCCGGGGACAACTGTTGAACAGCGACGTGCATTGCCTCCTTCATAAGGACCTTAGCCAGGTCACCCTGGTGGTCTGGGAGGGTTGAGGCGACGTTGTGGAGGCGCTGCATGATGAAGTACTGGTACCTCGCCAACATCGCCTTGTAATTTGAGATCCGCAGCCCCAGGCCGGAAGCAGCATAGACTTGCCTAGCCAGGGAGTCGCTCTTTTGGCCCTCCTTGTCTCATGGGGCCGTATGCCCTCTTGCCTCTCTGCCCTGGGAGGACTCCCCTACGACCAAGTTCGGCTTGGGGTGGCGGAGGAGGAAGGGGATGTCCTCCTCCCGAACCTGGTACATAGATTCGTACCTCCTGGACGTGGGTTGAGGGTGAGAGGGCAAGTCCCAGGGCTGCGTCATTGCTTGCCGAAGAGTGGTTATGAGTGGCAGGACGATTGATGTCGACTGCTCTCCACGGACGTCGTAGACCTTGTCCGTTGCCGGTCCTGGACACTGGACGGCGTCGATGTCAAGGGACTGGACAAGTCTGGACATCAGCTCAACGAAGGAGATGTGGGATTCGTCCGGTGACGCAGGACCCTGGGATGTCACAGTGACGTCTGGGGAGGTTGAATTGACCTCCGAATCGTTGGAATCGGCACCGTAGTATGGTGGAGTTGATGCCGGAGAAAAAGAGTGTCTCGGGTCCGAGGGACGTGGTCGGTCACGGGATGGTGGAGAGGACTGACCCCTAGGAGCAGGGTAATATCCTACAGAGAGTGGATCACCCCAGGTGTGGTAATAGGGGCGACACCATCCCTCTGAATGTCGCTCCACGGAGCGGCTCCTCTGGCTCCCAGGCGGGGACATCCCTACATCCGCCTCCATAGTGGCCGTGGGCATGGGTGTAGGCGACCGAGCCCTAGGGGGAGAGTCCTGAATTTCCCCATCAGAAATCGAGCCCCTTTGCAGAGTTGGAAGGGGCCCAGACGGAAGGTCAGCCACGCGGTGCGGGGACCCTTGAGGGGTAACCCGCATAGCCTCCTGAAGAACCGGGTCGGGTGGAGTCGGTACCGTGAGCGCCGCCGGTACCGAGGGGGCCGTTGAATCCGAATCCTGGTGACAAGGATGCTCCGAGTCCTTCGGCTTTTTGGAAGGCTTGGAGACTTTCTCCTTCCTGGCCTTCTTATGGCCTGCCGACTTCTCGGGTTTGGCATGCTTCCGCTTCTCATGTTTCTTTCTGGGGGAAGCAGAGGGAGCCACTGTAGCAGATGCGCCTTCGTCCGAAGGGCGTGAAGGTGGAGCCACTGAAGCGGAGTGCTCCAGGCTTTGGAGCAGAAAGCAGCAGATCGGACTGCATGAGAGCCCAATCCCAAAGGAGCCTCCGGAGACGGTTCTCGCGATTCTTCCTGGCCTGCTTGGAGAAGGCCAGGCAGTGGGCACATTTATCGGTCCTATGCCCCTCGCCCAAACAGAGGAGGCATAGGTCATGCGGGTCGGTTGGTGACATTTTTGACCCGCACTCCGCGCATTTGCGGAAAGCTGCTTGCTGCGCCATCGCAGAAAAAGGAAGAAGAGAGAGATAGTGTAGAGGGTAAGTATATATTTTTGGGTTTGTTTTTTTTTATAGATAGATTGAAAGAAGGTAGAATGATAGAGAAAAAGCTACAGGAACTATACGAAGCAGGAATAAGGAGAAAAAACTGGGACTATAGAACTGGAATGATCGAGAAGGCTAATGAGTAACGGTCAGAGCAAAAGTCGAAAGCAGCACGAGGCACAGCGAACGGCTGTCGCAAAGACTGAACAAAATGGCGGACACTCCGCTCTTTATAGGCCATGGGGGGAGGGGGAGCGGAGCTTCCCGCCAAAAACCATTAGCTGGCAATCTTCCGGCCAAAGGCACTGCGCAGGCGCAGCACCCATATGTGTGATGCACAGAGGCCACGTCAAAGAACCAAGGGTACAGAAGGCATAACAATGTGGCAGCAACCCTAGTAGAATGGTTATGTGATGCCCATCTTATGACTCTTTGCCACATGAAGATTTTAGTATGTGGCTCTTAGCCTTAGGAATAACTACCTAAGCACCATCCTGTTCAGTCTTGGGTTTCAGAGGAAAAATAATCTCCAAGGGAATATTTTGTAACAACTAGAAAAAACTGTCCAGGGGTAGATGGAAGATTCAATGAAGAGCCTTCCTAGAGAGGCTTATCTGGCACCTACATCATGCTCTTTCCAGTGCCTAGGGAAGACCTTCCTATTTTCTAAGAATATTCAGTCTTTCAGTATTTCAAATCTTTGCATTGCTGCAAGGATTTACTTTGGCTTTTACTTCCATTTTATTTGTAGCTTTAAACTTTTATAGTGTATGTTTTAAGGTTTTGGCTTTTTCTGAACTGCCCAGAGAACTTTGGCTGCTGGGTGACATAAAATGACTAGTGAAATATATGAAGACCTTGCAACTTCTATTGTTGCTCACAACTTACCTTCAAAGTTGCTTTACTTTTATCCCTCATAATGTTTCTTACAGGCACTCTAACATAGTGGTCTACAGCCATAACAGAAGAGTGAACCGGGTCCTATTTGCCCCAAGCAGTGGATACATCTGCTTGCAAATGAAGGACAGTCCAGAAACTATTACTTGTGATGGACTCATTCCTGGTAAGTCTTGAACCTCGAAGTAAGGGATTGTTGGCAGAGGTTTCTGTGTATTCTAACAGCTCCACTGCCAAAGTCTGCTTCAGGTGTGAGGAAATAGAAGACAGAGAACTGGGATATGTGTGTATCCCTAGACACTAAAAGTATTCAATTTATCTATCTTGAGCAAGAATGTGGTTTTTCTCTTCTAGTTCCATCTGCTGCTGAGAAGTGGCATCTGAAAGGAGATAGCATAGGATTTTCCTTCAATGACCAGCAAAGTAACTGTTGAGTGAGTTTGAACCCAACCCCCCTGCCAAGTCACCAAGTATCATGGCAGTGGTAGTGTTGTAGAGCGGTTAGAGTGCTGCACTAGGGAGGCCTGAGTTCAAATACTAAGTTCAGAGTATTAGGCCTTAAACTTCACTGAGTGGCCTGGGGCTGGTCACTACTTTTTAGGCTAACCCAACACATAGGGTTGTGATGCTAAGAATAGAGAAGGGGAGGGATCTGTGTATACTGGCTTGAGCCCCTTGAGGGAAACTTAATTAATAAATAACGCAATCCACAGATACCTGAAGCACTTTTGAGTTTTCTCTGCTTGCTATTATGCATAAACCTATTTATAATATAGCTGGGGGAAAAAATCAGAACTACAATTTTAGTTCTCCTTTTCTCTATTGGACCCACAATTGCCTATCACAACCAATATATAAGTCAATTGATATTACTAACACAACATTCCATTAAGATAGATGAATTATAGCTATATCACCAAACACAGAAAGTATATCTTGACTTGAAGGCCAGCTTCACTAAGCAAAAATTTCTCATTTTTGAGAAAGTAATATCAAATACCACTTCCTCCCTGATAAATACAGCAACAAATCAATTTACAGCAATGTCAGAAACAGATTGTCTTTATATACAAGAACAATATATTTACAACAACCAGCTGCAAAATATGTACATACAAGAGGTGTTTCCATGGTCATCACGGTATAAATTAAAATAATAAATAGCATGTTCTATTCTTAAGGCACAAAACCTTCTTCCCAAGACTGTACAGAATGGAAATGCTTCAGTATTCTCGACAGATCATCAGAATGGTTTCAACACCCCTGAAGAACAGTCATCACTGGACAACAAGACAGACATCAAATGACTTATAAAAACCATGTTCGTTTTCTTTCTTTACATCACAAATATCTGTTAAGATACAAGGAGTTTTGTGTAAACAGTCTTTAATTTACCACATACTATGTTCACCTTTAAATAATACTCAAAAATAATTTTAAAATGATATAGGTGGTCACACCTTTCCAAGAGATACTGGTACCATTGCATCTTTACCATTCCTATCAGAGATGCAAAAACTAGTGGAATTTATACTTGAGTGTCCCTAGCCTGAAAATATCAATATATTCACCAGAATTAAACATAATAAATAATTTTGGCTGCTATCCTATGCATACTTACTTACAAGTGAGTTATCTGAGTGTGAATTATTCCTGGAGTAAACATGCATAGGATAGTGGTGCACATTCCTTTATGTGTCTAACAGCTGCAAAGGGCTGAAGCTGGGTATTTTGGGTGCTAAAATATAACCTTGAATGAAAGGTGCACTAAACCATGGTTTGTACGTCCATGTTAGCTCCTCCTGCTGGAAGAGTTCCAGACAGTGGAATGGAGAAGGAAACAGTTTCCCCAGAACATCCTTAAAGTGGATCCTCTGGAGGTGATCTGAAAAGTGGGGGGGACACAGGGTTAGGGGAGAAATAGGATTATGCAACGTTGCATTTTACCCAATATTATTAAATGGAGCAATCCTTGTTTCCAAAGGAGTTCAGACTGGCACTTTCTTGGGTAAATTTCTTTACAACGCACCTCCACTTGAAATGTAATGGACCTAGTACAAACACTAGCAGGTAATATTCTAGTGCTTCCATGAAAAATGCGCACAAAACATCTAAAATAATATGCTTTGCCTCAAAATAGATCACTGTCTTATTTCTAACTCTAGTTATTTCAAAGATGTCAAATGTCTGATGACTAGGCAATAGAGTCACCAAATGCCTTACATGTCATATTTTATTAAAATATAATTGGAACTCTAATGACTCCTAGATAAAATGCCAAACCTGCCATGGCAGTGTTGATTTGTTCTCCTTCTTTAGCTGACAAAAACATTTTTAATAACCAGTAGCTTAGAAGACACCAGAAGGTACAGCTCATTGCACCCTGGTATTGGTTTTGCCAGCCTAATAGATTTTTTAAAAATCATGTCTGGGATCCAGAATTTCTGTTTTGAAGAAGGAAACTGCCTTGTTTCTGGTGGCAATTAATATATTAATGATATGCCCTGGGCCTAAGCTGTCTCTATATAGGAGTGTAAATCCAAAGGCACGTGACTAGGCCAACAGAAAAAAAATTGAATACTTCTGAACCCTCCAGCTCAAGCTGCCAAGTGATCCTTACAAAGAAATACATGGGGATGTGTTGAAGGAGCAATATAAGTGCAGGAAGACAATTCCTTGAGAGAACCACAACTACACAATCCAGAATTCTTTGCAAATACAATTTGTATCAAAGGGTGATGCCACCTGAATGCAATACAGAAAAAGAGTCCAGTCAGGCCAAGTCAAGGATCTACAACAAAACTGCTCCTCTTTGGGAAAAAACAATCCACTCAGGAGCAAATAATGAAAACATCTTTTGGTTCCACAAGAGATTTGTAAGAGAAGCACATAAGCAATTACTGTAATTCTTCCACAGTTAAATGAATAGGAAATTTTCAATTTTCTTTTTTGCTGCATCCTTCTCCCAAGTTTTCATATGATGATTCTGCTCCCTGAGGTGTTCATCAGGAAATGAAAGAGGTTATCATATGTTTCTCACCAATAATAAAGTGCAGGAATAATCTTCTATTTAATGGTGTCCTACTGCAAAAGGTGGCACATACCATCATTAGCACTGTAGCACATGAAAGCACCTGGAGTGTAAGCTTTGTTGGGAATACCTGTGTGGTTTACAATTCACTATCCTTCATTATGTACAGGGAATTCAATACTGTAAGAGTAATCTATACCAATAAGGCAAAACATCTCTGCAAACGGTGGAACAAAGCCAGTTCAGGTTCATGATATCTTCAGTAAAGTATATTACAGATTTGTCTGTAGATTTCCATACATAAACCATGCCATTCTCTCCTGCAAAAGTGGTGTCACTAAATGGAAACACTGAGAAGAAATTCTGTAGAATTTGGCAGAGGTTCTCTTAAAACAGAGAAAATGCTGCATATATTTTAAGCAACAATGCTCTGGCTTTGTAAAGTTCAGAAACAGTCATGAAAAGTAAAGAAATATTATACCCTGCCCAATCCTGTGCACAGATGGTTCCTCTTTGTCTCCAGAAATGCAAGTCCTATTTAATTAATTATATACTAAGTAGAACCAAAGGCTTTTGCACTGAGCAGTGATGTCATACAGAGTCAGCTCAGTATGCTATTTTGGATGCACTTCTGGGATCTTTCAATACTTCTAGGCACTTGATGTTTTAAGCCAGAACAGAATGCAACAGCATCCCTTTGGCATCTACTAGCATTACAGGAGAATGAGACCATTTCAGTCTTGAGGAGTTAAAACAGACTCTGCACTTATATCAGTGGTCATTTCATTTCTCTGGTACCACAGAAACGGTACTGATTGAGAAAGGATCTCTTCCTAATTTGACTCCACTTGGTACTTGTTTACAAGGCTATGTAGTAATAGTATGATAATATATTTAATTAAGTTATTTCTTTGGGTTGCTCTATGTAGCTTGCTTATAATTCCATTTTTCTTCTTCTGAATAATTATTACTTGTCATTAGGTATGCATGAGTAACAGGTGCTTTCATAGCTCATAGTATCTGTTGCAGTCTTCAGGTCACAAGGTGTGTTAACATACTAGTATTCAATATTGGCTCTTTTGTCCAGAAAAAGTTGCTGGTCCATATGCTAGTTTATAGGGGCTGGCTAAAGTACAGCATGCAAATGTGCCCAGGCCTGAGTAAAGGTGGAGAAGGGGTGGTTGATGGCTTTGTAACACTGGCTTTGAAGACAAGGTGCCACCGGATTGGATAATGCTATATTCCATAGCAGAAGGTAGCACCGTGAAAAGTTGGATATGAGCACTGAACACTGATAGTGTCCGGCTTACTACAGAGAGAATTCTGAGCAAGTCTGCTCTGTGAGGTTTCACTTCTGCACACATCAGGGGGAATGTTAGATACAGGATCGGAAAACAGATGCTAAGCCTCGCTGGCAGGAATATTCCTGCTCAGTTCCTTGATCCCATGTAATATCCTCTTCATGTGCCCCACTTTGGTCACACCTAGGTCCTGAAAAAGAACAGGAAAAATGATCTTAGGGGACACACATACAAAGACACACACACACAAACACAGAAGTCACTTGCAGAATATTAGTCAGATGAATAAAAATTCTCTAGAAAAACTACAGGACAGAAGGTGTGGCATCTTAAAAACCAAGCAATATGGCCAGAGCTTGACAGATAGCGAACTGTTATCAAACAAGCTTGAAGCAGCAACAAGGTAACAATGCTACTACACAGAAATTCAGAGGCACAAACTCAGTAAACAGGAAGATTTTTGCAGATCTTAGGAACAAAGTCAGCAGCGCAAAAAACAAAACCAAAAAAACCCTCCAGAAAATGATAGCTCATATGTTCCAAAATAGATAGTTTGTTCCATATCAGATACAAGTAGCTTAAGGGAACATGCAGCCTAGAGGCTATCCTATCATAGTCTTACAACCTGCAGTTTGTCTGTACACGTATCTTCTATCACAGTCCTACTTTCATATCAGAAGGGAATCAAATAAAGCTTACACAAAGAACGCACTTTTCCTATACAGGAATCATTACCCACACAATATCCTGGAGTCATCCAGAACCTCGGACAATAATCAGATTAATAATTGTGCTGGGGAGTTGCCTGGATCCTGTTGCTTATGTGGGTTGGCTGAGCTCTGCAAGCAACCCTTATTAAACTACCCTATCTAGTGACTAGTTTCATGTATTTCCTCAGTTATCTGCATTAACTAAAATATGGCTAATTAATATACTGCCCAAAAGTCAAGGATCTCTGGGTAGTTAACAAAAGTAAACACATACACACCAAAACCACAATAGCAATTGCAGCTGAATCAGCATAGAAGGTACAGAATAAAATGAAATATTAAAAATGAAGTTAAAAAGTGAAACTGTTAAAATTCTAGAAGACTAAAAAGATCTTCACCTGGCACCAAAAAGAATACATAGTAGATGCCAGGCACACCTCTTTGGGGAGCACATTCCACAACTTGAGTGCTACAACCAAAAAGGCCTTCCTCCTGGTTGCCAGCTGCCTCACTTCCTTTGGCAGGGGCTCTTAGAGAAGGACCCCCAAAGATGACCTCAGGTCTTGGTAGGTACATATGGGATGAGGCAATCCTTAAGATAACCTAACCCCAAGGGCTTAGGATGTTAGTAACAGCACTTTGAATTGGGCCCAGATTTCAACTGGAAGCCAGTGCAGCTGAAGAGGACTGGCATATGTTCTTGTGAACCAGTCCCCATTAACAGTCTGCTGTTCTTTATTGGATCACTTGAAGTTGCTGGACTGTTTTCAAAGACAGCCCCATGAACAGCCCATTGCAGTAATCCAAATGAGCCACTACCAGAGCATGGATATCTGTAGCTAGGCTCTCTCTGTCCAGGTAGGGTGTAGTCGGTATATCAGCTCATGCTGATCAAAGGTGCTTCATGCCTCCAAGTCTATTTATGCCTCAAAAGATAACTCTGGGTCCAGAAGTACCCCTGAGACTACTCACTCTATTACATTTAAGAAAAACTTAAGCTTTATTAACAAAAATCAGAAAACACCAGATTGTTAACATCTTTCAAGTAACAATATTCTGATGGTAAATTCTAGGATGAATTGCAGTGAAGTTCAGGCCTGATCTACAATACAACTTTAGAAGATTTGGTTTGTAGATTTTACAAGATTTGGGACTGGGCCAATAAAATTTTCTTAGATCTGATTCTACCAGTCCATACCTGTAAAATATTTTATTACTCTGTCTAAAGCCACCTAGAACGGAGAGTACGCAGACCAGCTCCAAGCACAGTCAGCACAGATGGCCATGCAAATGCAGATGGCTATTAATGAGTTGCTCGTGAAAGTACCTTGAGGTCTCTCCGTTCGAGATGCAGGAGCTCAGAGCCCCGGACGTCATGCCGGATGAAGATATCCTTATACTCACAAAGACTGAGATGCTCAAGCCAGGCTGCAACCTCTTCCGTTCCCCAGAGGTGAACTGTCAGAGATGGAAAAGTAGGAGTGTGTTGAGTACCCAAAAGCCCAGAGGAAAGGCAGTGAGAAAAAGGCAATCGCCAGCAAACACCAAAGTAGCACAAAGGGAAAAGGGAACACAGTACCATAACTGCATAGTAAAAGGAATAAGTGGATCAACAATTTGAAAATAAAAGAAGGGAAGCAAGGTTACAAGCAAAGACATGCTCTTAAATGGAGGCTGAATGCAGCGAAAGCTGTTTTTACCTGATCAATTCTTATGGGGTTGATACCTTACATCACTGGATCCTTGTTACATAATCTAAGAGGCAACTATTTAACAAAATAGATGAGCACAAAATAACCAAAGAATTCTTCAGCCAAGATGGAATTCTATTTGTCACAAGACAATTCTGGATATTTACTGACAAAGTGCTAAATTTAACCTTCAAAGATACATGATGCAAATGTATATACCAGCACTTTTATGTGTGGCCTTTCCCTTTAACATGCCTAGAACACAGCCCCAAACTGGGGAAAAACACAGAATCAGAGTGTAGGATGCTAAGGAGTGGAGAGATCGATTCTTGGGTTCCCAGAAGCCAAGGACTAGCACTTCATTTCCAGAACCACTTGAACTGTTTTTCTTTTGTTTTGGCAAGGACCCTTGAAGAAGGAGCTGTGTTTCTCAAGAATACCTCCCAGGCGGCAACAGTAGTTCACCACATGACTGAGTGCTCAGTCAGCTGGCTCCAAGTACTAAGCCTGCGCCCCAACATGTCCTATAAATGCAAGCTCTGAGATAATGGTCTTCAATCTTGCTGTGTGAAGATCCTGATCTCTTCTCATACATTGATAACTTTGAAACTTGACTTTTACATAGGATATTCTGCTCATCAGTTATGGCTTACAGAATTGCATGTCTGCCTGCTGTTCTACTCATCACTGGTTCTGTCAGATTTGATAGCTAGCTTCCCTGCTCCACTGTGCAAACCAAGAAACCTGACTGAGGTCTGCCTTCGGACAGGCTCAATAGTTGGGGAGATCCCATGTTCAAATAAAAATGTTACCTTCTACACTCAGCACAGGGAGCAAGTACACAAGTACCAAGCCCACTCTCAATCTCAGTGCAAAACTCACCCAGGAGGAGGGGAGTAGTATAACTAATGCTAACCATAATAATGGACATTTACCATTACCTTGGCTGCCTTTGAGTGATCGTATTTTGCCTTAATAAGCAATATATTAATTAGCCCTTGCCTGCTCATGCAGCTCCTTCTCTGCTCTTTTTTGCATCATGTCCAAATGAAATGCAGGAGTCTCCAGTTAACCAGAGTTTCCTATTTAATTTAACCAGAAACTATGGTTTCCAGTTTTGGGTCAAGTCAGGATTTTAAACCACCTTTGCCATCATTTCCTAGTTCAGATGAGATACTGGGAAGGAGAAAGAGAAGCAACTTTAAACAGGGGCAAAAGACTTGCTAAATATCTCAGCTTATTAGGCCAAAATATGACCATCTCAACCCAGCCTGAGTGCCTTCTGCTGCCATGCCCATGAATGGACAAAAAAGAGAAGAACTGACACCACTTCTTTGTATCACGGCAACAGGTATTGTAAACAAAGCCTTATTGCACATGCTCTGGACTATGAATATTTTATAGGCACACTGCCAATGTCTTCATGCTTCCTTTAGGGAAAAGAAGTCTGGGCATAAATGCACAAAGCTATCCAGCCTTTCTGCTAGCCTCTGAATAATGGAAGGTATATATAGTCTGGGGAAAAAGGGGAAAAAAAGAGAAAACACTAATTTGCCACAAAATCAGTGGGATAGAAGGTGATATCATTAGTCCCACAGAACAAAGAGAGCTTGTCTTTATAAGAAAGAATATAAGCCAATAAATCAACCAACCCATTTGGAAAGAAAGTGTCCTCATACCACCTGAATTGTTAATTTCAAGGGGCCATTTTTAATATCATACTAAGCAATGAAGATTAAAGCTCAGGATGCACCCGTGATGATGCAGAATCCCCAGATGATTAGACACAAGATGATTAGACACAAAACCCTGGGAATGAATCAACGAGAAAAAATCATTAAGCAAATCAGGGAATATTAGCAGTGGCAGGTCTGGAGTTACGGAGACTTGGGCTCAACAGTCTTTTTGATTTCTAAAACTTCAGGGTGTGAGTGAGTGAATGAATATATTTGGCCCACCCGAAAACATCTTTTGTTTCCATCTTACATAATAGCTACTCCATACAGTGGCTTTATATAGTTCCAGGAAAGAAACCAGCAAATGGGTTATTCCGCTATAGGAAGAAATATTGGTATGAACATATAAGAAACCTGTTCAGATAAATGAAAAGGGCAAACATAGAAGTGAGTGAGAGGGGAGGCAGGCAAAGGAGAAATGCTTTTGAGTGTACAACTGGCACACATGTGCAAGTGCACATATGCTTATGTATGTGAGGAAGGAGAGGAAATAAGAGCAAGAAGAACAAACAGGCTGTACCCGGCAATCCCAAGCTGCTACGAGTTTCCTTATTCCTGTTGTTTTTCTCCTTTTTAAACTTTGTCACCAGACGAAATTTGCCACTCCGGCTGCGTTTAGAATAATCCAGCATTTGGTTCTACAGGAGAAAAAGTATGGAAATTACTATTGCTATTTTTTGGATCTTCAACCCAGATATGACTTTTTCCCTAAGGCATGCCTATTAATAAGGTTTGTTGCACAAACATGAAAAAATGTATCCCTGCATGTTAATTAAATGTAGTTACATTGAATGTTGTTCAGACAAGCTCTGAGGAAGGTAGTGAACCCATTCAAGTGACATCCCTGAGTGACAGCACAATAGAAAGCGATGAAAGGCTCCCGGTGGCCTTGTCTCTTCTTCTAAAAATTACCTCTTCATCACTGGGTTCCATGAGTTGCCACAGCCAAGGAATATTAGCTAGCTTCCTCATGTGAAAGTCCATTTCTGTCAGGGCTGCTACAAGTTGCTCTTTTTGTGGAGGATCCAACTGCTACATCAGAAATGGAAATACAAAGGCATGCTTAAGGACTGCATGGCTGAATGGAGGATCGTTTAACCTCTATAAGGCTTGCCTATGGATAAGTAACTACTAAGTGAGCACAATGGCCCAGTTCAGCCCATCATATTTTGGCATAATAAGCTGAGACATGAATGAGCTTTTTGCCTGTGCACAGAGCTCCTGTCACATAAGCTGCAGTTAAATCAGGAACTCTCTCATTAATTTAGAAGGGAAATTGTGATTACAAGCTTTGAAACAAGCCAGGATCTTAAAACATATTCTAACATTGGTTTAAAAACCTGTCTTGATTGGCAAATGGTAATCATAAGTTTCGCAGGTGGGATGAAATGGGAAACTATGGTTAGAAATGTCCTGATTTTGCTCATATGCAAAATTTAAAGGAGCTGTGGGCAACAGAAGGCAAAACATTCTTCCATATTTCAGCTTATTTTCTCATTTTAAAATTAAATTAAGATTATTATTAAAAGTTTACTTGCTAAGTAACCGTAGTTCTAAGCTGACTTCACTTAATAAAATGGTTATCACATGCAAAAATATTTCAGTTGTTTGCAAATGGAAATATCTAAAGGCAAGGGCATGAATAAAAGGCTATCAAGAAGAAAGGAGCCCTCTCAAAAAGACTTATGACCTGCTTACAGCACAAACGACTAATCCACAAAGCTATATTGTGCTAGTGCTCTTATCCAACCATCTACTTTTAAAGCTTCTGTCAACTTGTAAACATATCTTATGTTTATAAAGTAGTGGGCTATCTCATGCCAGAAACACTGTCCCCATGCGCTGATAGTCATTTCCTTCCTAGAGTCAGAGAGCTGGTATCATTTGTGCTCTCTTTCAATTATGAGAAATTCTGAGAAATATGTCACAAGGAAAGCATGCAATATCTAAAGGTAAACAGCAAACACTCGCATTGAATCGATAGAAAAATCAACTTGTTTAGTACCCAATAATCTTTTGTGCCAAGCAGAATGGACAAAAGCAGCAGGGGAAGGACAAGGGACAAGGCTCAAGGACAGATTTGCTTCAGGAACACACAGCAATTACGGTGACAATGCAGGGATCTAATCAGGTGCCTTGCCACTCTAATCATTACATTTCCGTTTCAGAGGAACTCTTTGGGTCTACATTCCAGCGGTGGACAGAACTGAAGGCAAAGAAGTTAGGGCCAGAAATTCAAAAACATACCGATATAGCTTAGTGCTCTTACTACCTTAGGATGGGTATTTTACCTTTCCTCATAGGAAAGAAAAATCTGTACAGAAGCTGGGAAACCACCAAAGGTCCAGTGGCTGAGGGAAAGAGTGTGGAGCCAGAGGAAAGTAATATGGCCATTTCCAAACTGTGGAGGATCATGTTTGGATCTTTGGGCCTGATATTTCTCATTCCTGCCTTAAGCTGATATACCATTTCATGGCCCCTCCACAGAGTGTGCCTTAGTGTAGACATCACAGATCACCTACTAGCTGAATTAACCTCAGTTTTGACTCTGATGTTATTAGTCTTGTCCAAAATTGGAAATTGTGCATTATACACTCTGAAAATATTTTGTTGAGGCTATTCCAAAACTATTCTAAATCACTGTTATTTCCTCTGATAAAATCAGTAATTCCAGAATATACTGGCAAGAGCAACAGCTTGTGCTGATTCCAATTATCATGGAGGATAATTGGATATCATATATCATAGATATCATAACATCAAGTTTACCAAAGTTGGGAAACTGCAGAAATAAGGAAGCACAATATTTACAGTCAGAAGGAGGGAGGTAAAAACATTGCCAAATTGAAGGGTCCAGATGCATCCCTGAATCATAAGAGAATATTTAAACTAGTAGCAGTGAAATAGACACTGAGGCTTTGAAAGGAAACTCAAGAACATTGGGACCTCAATAGTTTTCTCATCTATCTTTCCAGTACTTGGGAGATAAATTGAAAGGGAAAGAAAAAATACTCCAAATGAATGCCTGACTACAAAAGTGATGTTGATGGGAGAGATTTGTATTCTGGGACCATGAGCTACATTTCTTGGAAGACAAACTGCTACTGCTGTCAAGGGATGGGCTGCACCTTAAAAGGACTGGAAAGAATATGTTTGGCTAAAGCATGAAGAATCAGACTCAAAGAGTGCTTATCAATGGCACCTTCTAAGGGTTTGCTCCTGGACTGAATGTGTTTCAACATTTTTATTCATAATTTAGATGAGGAGATATAGGGAATGCTTATCAGATTTGCAGATGACAAAACTGCAACTGGGTGGAAAAGCTAATGCCACAGAAGACAAAAGCAATATTTAAAGTCATTCTGATAGATTGAAGCACTGGGCTGAAAACAATAGAATGAAATTTAACAATGACAAATGTCAAGTTCTGCACCTAGGAAGAAGAATCCAAATGCATGGGGTTCTTGGCTCAACAATATTACAAGGGAGAAGGATCTCAGAATTGTGTAGATCCCCAGCTGAATATAAGTCAACAATATAATGTGGATGCAAAAAAAGGCACATGATATTTTGGGCTGCATTTACAGAAACATCACATGAAGTACTACTATTCAGCACTGGTTATGCTGCATCTGGAGAACCATATCCAGTTCTGGGCACCACTGTTTAAGAAAGATGCAGACAAACTGGAAAAGATTCAGAGAAGGGCAACAAAGATAATCAGGGAACAAAGACCTATGAAACGAGACTGAAAGAACTGATGATGAGAAGACTGAGGAAAGACTTCCCTTGAGAAGACTGAGGAACGATGTGATTGCACTCATCATAAAGACTGTCACAAAGAGGAGGACTGGGATCTCTTCATGAGCATCCCAGAGGACACAGAATAATAGGGTTCAAATTACAGGATTCCAGATTCGGAAAAGCTTCCTGACTGTTTAAGCAATACAACAATGGAACCGATTACCTAGAGTGGTTGTGGGCTCTCACACTGCAGGCATTCAAGATGCAGCTGGACAGGGATGTTTTAACTTGGAGTCCTGCATTAAGCACTGAATTGGACCTGGAAGCCTTACTGTCTTCTTCCACAGATACTATTCTATGATTCTATATAGTAGAAATAAGCAAAGAGACACCTTTTCTCTATCCCTTACCAAGGCCATTTTCCCAGCCAGGAGAAGTTCTGTCTCATTATGCAAGGCTTTAACATTATTCACCATCTCTACCACAAGACTGCAGTTCAGGCCCTGTAGAAAGACCATAATTATGAAAACTGGAAATATTTATCACAACATTTGACAGAAAGTTCATGTAATAGGAACAAAGTATATAGCGGTAAACTAAAAGAGACCAGTGATACCTCTGTAGACTTGGATTTAGCATATACTTTGTCCATAGACTTGGAGCTAGCATTGACTGCATGAGCAAGTTCTTGTTCCATATCCTGGTAAGACTGGGCTATTTCACGAATGCTGGAGAGAGGAGAAAAAAACCTTAATAGAACAAACTTTCTGGACTGTTTTCTCATTCTGGTACCACCTTTCCCACTTCCCTTTTCCCAAGACTGGAAGCAAGTAGCCTCACCTGTGAATCAGCATGCCTGCTGCTCGGCAAAATTGATTGATGTGAGTGGACTCTTCTTCAGATATAATCTCTGGATGCAACAAAAAAGAGGGGGGCCGGGCCAGCTCACACTTCTGTTTGTCTTCCCAAGACTTCAGGGTGTTCTCAAATGCCTGAAAAATGCATCGGTGACTATTTAGAAGAAATGTGTGTCTTTGTTTCAGGGAAGGGGCACCTTGTGACCCTCAAGATGCTGTTGAACTGTGATTCCTATAAGCCCAAGACACCGTAGCCAATGAAGTGTGATGATGAGCACAGCAGTTCAGCAACATCTGGAGTACCACAAGGTGCCCACCCCTGCTATATATCCTGAATATGTGTGCTTTATGTGTGCGCTTTATGTCTCTGCAAAGACTGCAGCATGATAATGTACCCCATCCTGGGGGGTGAGATGTATCTTGAGGTCTCCTCTGTTGGAGAATCATCAAAGAATCTTGTGGCACCTGAAAATTTAACACATTTATTGTGCATGAGCTTGTGTGGATTAAAGCGACCACATCCACTTCATCAGATGCATGCTGCAGATATATATACCACGTGGTGGCAACTTCTGAGATCAGAGGTAAATGAAATGCAGAAAATACAGAGAATAACTATCATGTAACAGTTATTCAGTAACAGTGGGCAATCACAAAACAGATGATGCCAATAGTGCAAACATCTTGGAGTTACATAGACACACAGGTAGTATGATGGAAGAGACACACAGGAAAAAGGGTTAAGTGTGTGCATGTAGTGTGTAAGGGGGTTCCTCTTACCCTGTCTCTTGTTAGTGTTTGTGCCCTGTTTTTATGAACAATCCAAATATATCCTGGGGGTTGGATCCAGGCCTCTCCATCAACTTGCACAGGAACTCCCTCATCTCCCAGGATTGCTATCTTCACTGTCCGGCACTATGGAAAATTAATGTGTTAAATGCATCCTAAAGCATAAAAGAAGACATATTTTGCACATGTCACCACAAACATTTCACTATGTTCCACAGTAATTAATAGTTTTCACAGCATGTTTCCTCCTGTGCAAAACAGCAATGGGTTTGTTGTTGCTAATCAGAGCATGAACATTTGGAGATCGGAAGCAATGTCTGGCAACAAGCTCACGCTAAATGCTATTGATCACTGCCCTTATTTGCCTTGCATCTTCTATCAATTGATGTAATGACAGTTAGAAGCTACAAGTAACTATTGCTTTCTGTTTGGTTTTGTAAAAGAAAACCAAAATTATCCTTGAACTGTTCTGTGGACAGCAAGCAGTACCTGGGCAATCCGGTGATGCTGTAGGTTAATCACACGTGAGACAGCCATTTGCATACTGCCAAAAACTGCTACCACTTCTAGGATCTTATCATCAAAAGAAGGAGCTGTAAATGTCTAGAAAAACAAAGAAGAAGAAACTAAGCCAGTATCTACTTCAGCTGTAATAAACTCCTTTGCATTTGCATAATGATGGGCTAGGTACATGAAAGTCCCAACACAGCGTAAGGATGTTATAAATGAAAATAGGATGGAGAATTTCCAGTGGCAAAATGGGTGCATGTTTTTCCTAACCCTTCCTTGTCCAAAGATCCTTGCTCTAAATCACACTCCTGCTTAAGCTGTATTTCTTTTCAAAACATGCATTTTGAAGACTGGGCACCCATTCCAAACCCCACAGAAAGAAAAGCAGAGAGAAGGGGAGAAATTTGAGAATTACTTACATCATCTTCCTTAGTGCCGCCCCAGAAGTTGGTGCCTCCTGCATAGCTGGGTATATTGAGGACAGCAATTCCTTGAAGACTGGGCAAAGGGATTGGGCGCCCATCACACTGCAGCATATAAAGAAAAAAAACCATGATTTAAACAATTCACAAATTTTGGTTGAAATCCTATATGATTTTAGTCAGAAATACTCCTACAAGTCCAAGCATCACTTGGATGTGTAGACATTAATGTTTGGGTAAAAAATGTTCAAAAACCTGTTTCACTATTTTCCCATATTCCCAATAATAAAGGGGATTTCTCAGATCCTCTCCTGAAATTCCAACAGGTTTCTAACAAAAAATTCATCAAGAAAAGAATAACCAAGTTGACAGGAAGTTTGAGGGGAGGCAAAGGGTTTGTAGACATTTGCTTCCAAAGGAAACATAGATACTTCTATAAGTGGAAAAGAAATATTGAACAACCAAATTTAACACAATTCATAAACAACCAGATACAGAACACTTAGATGATACATAATTGGAATCCGTACTTCCATAATAGCACACATCACTGAAATAGCAGCAAGTTATTTCCTTATAAAATTACCTGCATACTGGGTTTTTTGGGCTCTATGGTGGCTTATAACATTGGAATCATACAGGTTACATTAATGGTATATGACAGTGATGGCAAACCTTTTAGAAACTGACTGCCCAAACTGCAACCCAAGAGCAAATTATTTATTGCGAACTGCCAACACTACAATAAAACCTGAAAACTGAGGATTTAGTTTAGAAAAAAATATTAACAGCCAGTCCAAGCAAACACATATACTTAAATATCCTTGGCAGCGCACTTCCCGGCCATGGGAAAGCTTGGATGAGTCTCAGCTAATGACTCGTGGCTCATGATGCCATTGCCTGGTGCGGTTACTCCTTTCTGAGCATGCACATGGCCCCTATATGCGCTCTTACACGATACACAGTTGTGGGGCTGATATTGGGGTGACTTGACTGGAGTGCTGACAGAGAAGGCTCTGAATGCCCGCTGTGGAACACGTACCATAGGGTTACCACCACTGCCCCAACCCTACCATGATGAACATCCCTAACCCTAAGATAGGAGTAAAATATAATTGGAAGGGGAGATTTTGAAAAACCCTACCGTGAGTAACTTTATCTGCAGAGCACATCATTTCTGCCATTCTAAACACATTCCAGCCATCAAAATCATGCCAGGACAACTTATTTTCCTAACCCTAACCCTACCATTGTGAAAATCCCTAACCCTAATATAGGGCTAAGGTTCCATTGAAAATAATGTGATTTTCAAAAAGCCTTCCATAAGAAACTTTTTCTGCACAGCGCATCATTTCTGCCCATTCTAAACACATTCCAGCCATCAAAATCATGCCAAGAAACCTCGTTCTTGTAACCCTAATCCTACCCTGGTGAACATCCCTAATCCTAATACAGGGCTAAAGTTATAGAGAAATGAGTACAATTTTGAAAAAGCCTACCTAGAGTAACTTTTTCTAAACAGCTCAACATTTCTGCCTTTTCTTAACACATTCCAACCACCAAAATCATGCCAGGACACCTCGTTTTTGTAACCCTAACCCTACCCTGGTGAACACCCCTAACCCTAAAATAGGGCTATGGTTCAATAGAAAATAATGCAATTTTGTTAAAGCCTTCCTGGAATAGCTTGTTCTGCACAGCTCAACATTTCTGCCCTTTCTAAACACATTCCAAGCATCAAAATCATGCCAGGACACCTCGTTTTTCTAACCCTAATCCTATCCTGGTGAACACCCCTAACCCTAATATAGGGCTATGGTTCAATTGAAAATAATGCAATTTTGTAAAAGTCTTCCTTGAGTAACATTTTCTGCACAGCGCATCATTTCTGCCCTTTCTAAATGCATTCCAGCCATCAAAATAATGCAGGGCACCTTGTTCTTGTAACTCCAACCCTAACTTGGTGAACATCCCTAACCCTAATACAGGGCTAAAGTTACATAGAAACGAGTCCAATTCTGAAAAAGACTTCCTAGAGTAACTTTTTCTGCACAACTCAACATTTCTGCCCTTTCTTAACACATTCCAACCATCAAAACCTTGCCAGGACACCTTGTTTCTGTAACCCTAACCCTACCCTGGTGAACACCCCTAACCCTAACATAGGGCTAAGGTTCCATACAAAATAATGCAATTTTGTAAAAGCCTTCCTTGAATAGCTTTTTCTGCACACCTCATCATTTCTGCCCATTCTAAACGCATTCCAGCCATCAAAATCATACCAGGGCACCTCGTTTTTCTAACTCTAATGCTGCCCTGGTGCGCATCCCTAACCCTAATATAGGGCTAAGTTTCCATTGAAAATAATGCGATTTTTAAAAAGCCTTCCTTGAGAAGCTGTTTCTGCACAGCTCATCATTTCTGCCCATTCTAAACCCTTTTAGAGACCGAGTGCACAAACTGCAATGCAAAACCCGCTTATTTATCACAAAGTGCCTACACTTCAATAAAACCTGAAAACCCAGGTTTTTATTTAGAAAAAATAACTCACAGCCAGTCTAAGCAAAAATATCCTTGGCAGCACACTGACCGGCCATGTGAAAGCTCGGAGAAGTCGTGGCTAATGTGTTGCCGCTTGTGAGCTCATCCCCTGGCGTCACTACTCCTTTCCAAGCATGTGCATGGCCCCTGTGTGCAGTGTTACCTGATGCTTGGCTGCTGGGGCGATGCTGGGGTGACTTGGCTCCCGTGCTGACAGGCATTGCTCTGCGTGCCTGCTGTGGCACGCGCAGCATAGGTTCACCACCACTGGTATATGATAACAAACAAACAGGTTTGGCTTTGTAGTTGAAAGGATAAGGGTTACCCATTAATACACTACCTCTAGCAACACTTTCTGTTCTAAGTTTTTGTAAGTCCTGTGTAGCAATTCTTTTGTCCCAAGAACTCCATACCACATCATGTTCTTTGTACGACTTCTGAAAAGGGAAAGCAGAGAACTAAATCATAACAGGGACTATTGTACACACTGTAATTTATGCTCAAATCAAACACCTCAGCTTAATCCAGCCACTGAAATACTTCTTCCAGTTTCCTAGAGTAAGATTTGTACTGAAGGAACAAAAAGTACTAATTTGTTTCTCCAGAAAACAAAATTGTTGGACAATCCAGCATCATACTCTGTTGCAACTATCTGCCTACATCTTCTAGTTCTTCAGAAGGGAAAGTACCCCATAAACACATTTACCAGAGCAGTTATAAAAGGAATGGCAGCATCTAGTTCTTTCTTATTATTAACAGGCAAAGAAGCAAACACTACATATGCTGGGATTACTTGTTGATTGTACACTACCACTGATGAATCTGATGACAGAGTGATAAGTGTACCATACAAGTAGGAGGCAGTAAGAAGATCTACAACTGGAGTGGACATAAAAAGGTTATGAGTTTTTTAAAGATCTAAAATAGCTTTCCAGATGATTACCTGCACTTTTCTGGGTGCTCATCGCGCTTGTTGTTGAAGTCCAAAGAGATCTTTGCATCAAGTCCAATTCCAAAATAGTTATTCATCACACATTTCTCTATGTAACAATCACTGCATAGAGCAAAGCAAACACTCTGATTCAATGTGGTGGAGTATTTCAACATCCTCACATGCCCCCATCAGTAAATCCACTTGCTGCACTTTCTCAATACCTGCTACATATATACATACACAGGAGGTGTTCCCCACATGCTATGAATGAAGTTTGTTAAGATATCATTAAGAGAAGGCATCAGAATTATGTCTCCCATTGAAGTAAAGAAAAAAGCCAAGAAGAAGACAGGAGAAACTTTAAAATGGTAGGAAAAAAAGGAACAAGTAAACTGATGCATAGATAATGAGCTGAAATCATAAGGTAAAAGAATGGCAGCTCATAGAAAGCTGGAAGAGGCACTAATGTGGCAGCTGGGAGGAACCTCAATACCGTGATATGAGCAAATTTGATGCCCTAGCTCTGTAACAATCTCAATGAAATACCAAAATAGCAGGTCACAGACCCACACCTTGGGTCCTAATCCATGTTGCAGCATTCTAGTCATGGAATATAATGACATCCCCAGGAAAGATACTGTGCTCAAAAATTTAAAAAAATCAGCTAATTAAAATCTGAGTGGATTATAAATCTCAAGAAAATGCATAAAATTGAGCAGGGAAGGGAAGGTAACAGTGACACTAGGAATGGCCGGCAGGGTTTTTTGCCACCCTTGCCAGGAGGCTCCCTCATCATTTCAAGCAATGCACGCTGAAGTGACTTTGCTAACCTTGGAAATCACAAGTCATCCTGAGAATAAGCCACTCTAAACAGCCCTACTACTAATTACGGGTTTTCAGGGTGGTTTGTTTGTGAAAAACAACCTCCGATGGAGAGGTCATACTGGGTTCAGATATCATGCTAACTTACCCTGGAACTAACCATGTTGCCAGTGTGGTATAGTGATTAAGAGCACAGAACTGGGACTCAGGTGACTTGTATTCTAGTCCCTGCTCAGCCACAAGCCAACTGGGTGACTCTCAGACTCTTAGCCCATCCTACCTCACAGGGTGGTTGTTCTTGTGGGGATAAGATTGAGAGCAGCAGGAGGAGAATGATGTAATGAGTTTGCAAGAAAAAAGCAGGATATAAATCTAATTAATAAATAAATGAACCATCTATGCTGACAACCAATGACTTAGTATGTGAACCATGGCACTATGTCTGACCCTTACATATGCTGTAAAAGAAATGTTCTGCTTGTTTTAAACATGATTAAATTTTTAATCATTTTTCAGTGACTGATGGGGAAGGTCCACTCTCTTTCTTCTTCTTTGGATACTCACAGATTTTCAGGCTCAGAGTTAAATGGATCTGCATTGATCAACAATCGGCTGATGACAGAACCTCCAGGTAAAGAACCAGATGCTCCAGCACGGATATCTGTTGATAGATTACAAATGTTACAGGAAACAGTATGGAGTTGAGTAGTATATTTCCAATTGGCAAAACGGGATCTATTTTACCTCCAAAACCAACAGGATGCCGCTTCTGGAGCATGAAATATTATCTCACATTTTCACTGTTGCTGAACAATGAGGGAAAAACAGGGCTTCAGAGCTATGAAACATTCTAACTTTACAAAGAAGCAAACTCAAGCACATACAAAGCTTTTCAATTTCTTTTGTTTATGAGCCTGTGAAACTGAATGGGTAGTTCTGGAGTAAAAGACCTCTTCCCTACATTTTGTTTTGTTTTAATTTCTGGCTAAACAAGATGTGAAGTTAAATTTGTCTTTACATTTAATATATGATATTTTTTTAAAAAAATATATGGACAGTAGTTGCAGTCGAGGAGAGGAATAATTATTGAGATTGCAGTAGGAAGGGAGGGGGAATTTAGCCCATTTCTTCCTGATGTGGTGCTGATTAGAAATGTTCCTTTGAAGCTGCAAATTGCACTGGAAGGAAATTTCTCATACAAGTAGCAGCTTCAAAAACACTGTTTTATCAAGACTACAGCAGGGGAGGAAATTATTAAACTCCCCTACAGCTGCAATCCCCATAACTGTTAGCCCTCTCCCCCTAATGGGTGATGCACATTAAATGCAAATACATATTGAACTTCATGTCTAGTTTGATCAGAACCTTGAGGGATGAGCTCCAAGATTTTGCTCTGAAGTGGCACCCACCCAACAACCCTTCTCTTGGAAAGGATATAAGGAGTGAAAAATCTGGAAATGCATATAAGTACATGTGCTCCCCAAACAGGAAGCAAGCTGTAGTTCTTTTCTGCCACTAGAAAAACAGTGCAGTATGAAAATTGGTTTCAAGTCTATACCATACACTGACTTCCATGTTTTTAAACTCTTCTTTCTTATATTAAATGACTGTCACTAGAAAGGGTAACTTTTGAACAGATAAAAATGTTAAAGATAATGGCTTTAAGCAAGACTGTTACTGAAAGCAAAGAGACATGTGTCAATAACCTCTGGGTTGATGCAACATGCACAAACTAGTGGTGAATTGAAGCAGAACCTACAATATCTAAGAAGCCCATAGGGTAGCAGCTGATTGGGTTTCTGCCTTGACTCTGAGGCTTCTTGGGGACTCTCCTATTTTTCTGTATAATCTTCCATGATAATAGATTATTTGCAAATATATTTGTGGGCTAGCTACACACACTGTTAGCAATATCTAAAGTATACCTCATTAGTACACCCACCAAAAAATGTCCTGTTCTTAGAGAGAAACAATGGATGTTAATAATTTTCTTTCAGAGACTCATCATCTATGGTGTTTCTTACTCAAGCCTAGTCAACAGCTGTCTATGAAAGGATTCATTTTCTACTTGGAAGGGTAGTTCTTTACATTTACATTAGATTAACGAAACCTCATCAGCCAGATAAGAAGTGTAGGCACTCACTGGGATAGATGATCTTTGCATTCAGCATTGGTAGACTGTCCCGGTTTCCTGTCTGAGGAGGAAGAGAGGCAGAGCTTCCCACTGATAAATTTCCTTTACTTATTAATCTTTCACAGGGAGACTTAATCACTATAAAAAACAAAACAGACCACAAATATGCCATAGCATGTTACTAGTACTATAATATAAAACCTAGGTGGAGGAATAGTTACAAACCATACCATGTCAACAATTTCAAGCTGGGTACTTTTTATCAGAGCAGGATCTTTATGGGTTTCTGTAATTAAAGTGCTACTTTCTCTGGCTAGAATACAAAAGTCTTCATTGAAGCACTCCTATCTTAAAATCCATGGGACACTTCCTAAAAATATTTTATAGCAGCTGCAGCAAACTTCATAATCACAACTTGTGAATGTCCAAGATGATCCAAAGCTAACTTTAAATGTGCAGAACTGAAGATAAATTTCTATCAAAATTAAATAAATTTTATTTTTATAGGGAGAAGGACTGCAGAAATAATTGCTGCAAATATTTATAATTATAAAGAAAAATAATTACATGGTCACCATCAAACTATGTTGCTGATGCTGAAGTGGACGTTTTATTTTATAATGGATGTTTATTCAAAGAAAAGTTACAATTTTTAAATGGAAAAGATAGTCAAGCATATGCTGATTGTAAAAAAAAACTGTATATGTCAAGGCCTGATGGCCATTTCTAACTAGTTCTGGTCTACGCCTGTGATTGCAAACACAACCAGAAGCTAATTCAGGAATTCTAGGTTGAGATGATCTAGCACAGAAGCAGCATAAAAACTGCAAGTGTTGAAGATGTGTTATACCATCCACTGTTCAAGTTGACTGTTCAAATGATAAGGGATGGTGTTACACATGAAGAGCATTCTCTGCCTTAAACCTAAGGAAATATGAGAAATGCCAAGTAGGGTCTAGAAAGACATATACAAGGACTGTGTCTACAAGTCTCCTAGGTTACAAAAGGGTTTTACCTTTCCGATGGCTTCTTCCTTTTTGAATTCCATAGTTGTCAGCATGTGAAGAGTGTAAGGAAATTTTATTCTCATTCCTTTCTTTTCCTTCTTCAGGGGTGGAGAGACTGAGGAGAAAGCTCTCCTGTTCTTGGGTTTGAGCATTCTGTTCATCTACAGCTAAACAGTAAGGCAGTGACAAGCTTGAATATACTTGTTTGTTATTTATATTACAGAGCACTGAGGGAACTGAGTAACTGAAGGTCAAAAACACAATTGCATTTTCATTATGGAAGTAGATATGGAAGGAAATATGGTTTCTATTAAGTGGAAGAATGCACAGGGTATTGCTCATTTCACTCTGCAACATCCGATTAAAAAAACAACATGTCAAAAGAATTGGGGTTTTCTCAGAACATATATGTACCATGTGCCAGTCACAACACCCTGATTCTGGATAGATAATAAAAGGCTAAGTGGACCTTTCAAGAACATATGCATATTCTTCAGGAAAGCTCTCTGAACAAATGCTAAATCCTTTCCTTTTCACACATCTTTTTTCAAAAGTCAAGGAGATAATGAGTTTAGATTGGAAAGCTTCATACTTACTATGAAGCTCCATTCCAGTTTGGTAAGCAGGAAATATCCCTTGTGAGCCCTCCTACTCCTCGTGACAGGCAAGGACCATGAGTTCAGTTAGGGTTCTGCTGAAAGGGTGTGGGTGTAGGGAGCTTTTTTAATATCACAGACTACAAAACTACATGCCTTGAGTCACCCAGCAAGATAGCAGAGGAAGCTTTCTGCCCTAAGGCTATTGGATGAAAGGAAACAAAGAATTGGAACATATAAGTTTCTTAATCTTCAGAAGAGTCATCAAGATCCACCCTAATGCATCCAATGTGCATCAGACCTGCCCAGAGGAGTGAGAACAATTAGGGCATAATGAAGGAAAAATAATTTCTTGAACTCTGTGAATTTTGGGAATGAAAGAGGGTAACATCCCACTGAATTGTAATGGAGTCCTTACTGCATGTATAGAGGAGGCCCTCTGAAATGCTCCTGTAAGAGGTTTTAGTCAACAGAAATAAAACTTTACGTGGGAGAAAACACAGAGATACAGTTCTATGAGACTCAAAAGCAGAGAAGCGAGAGTAGAAAGGACTGTATGCAGGTTCAATGGAGGAACATTATTTACAACTGGAGGAGAGATAGGAGATGCTCCTCTGAGGAACAATTCAAGATGTGAGTGAACACTAAGTAGTTTGTGGCAGGGCTTGAAGCATGAGGCAAAAATCATGAAAGCCTGTGCGGCATCTGAAAGTGTATGTTCTGTATACCCGAGAAAGCGGCATAAGCAAAGAAAAAACTATCCAACCTTTTATTATTGGTAATTTCTTCCACCAAGAAGAGAGTAGCTTAGGAGAAATAGGACACCATACAAGAAAATCAAAAACTTATCCAAATTGAGATCAGGACAACCTCTTCAAAGATAGGGGCAAGGTGTAATATCCTACACGAAGGTCTCCTCTATGATCCTCTTCTGTTTGCTGATAATGAGCAATTGTTATGGCTATGCTAAGATTTGGGCTTTGGCTGGCAAATTCTTCAAAATCAGAGCCAGATGCCACTACTGGCTTATTTTTAGTGGCTTCTTTTTCTTTTCTTCACAAGGTTTGGAGCTATTCTTCCTAGATGGTACTTGTGGCAAAAATGCAGAAGACCAAGGAGAAGAGGAAAGCAATTTATTTTAAAAAGAGAGATAGAAAAGTCTGCACTAGAAAAGAGAGGCAAACATACTAAATTAAGAGAGTGAACAAGGGTTAAAAGAACAAAAATGAGGCCTGGAAATGGAGATGGCTAAAGAGATATGAACAAATGGCATCCTAGGAAAGGAAAAGAACCTGGCTGTGAGAAGCCTTGGAGTTCAGGACCAAGGCAAAAAGCTTTTTCATGCGCTCCTTGCCTACCCTGGAGAGTGGGAAGGGATAACCCATGACAGGTATCTCCTTTGCACCAGATGAGAAACAGCATTTGCCACTTGCATCCTTCCACAAAGGACTCACATATGGATCTATAGAGTCCATTCATAACCCTGGCTGTAATGAGCAAGTTTAATTATTTGCTTAACTTCCATGTCCAATGTACCGTATTTTTCCACGTATAAGATGATATTTTTTTCTTTAAAATATTTACATAAAAATGGAGGGGCATCATATACACGGGGGGGCCGAGAGGAGAGGCGCACTTGGGGAGGGAGACTGGTGCGTGTGCAATGTGGGGGAGGCAGGTGCCCTCAAGGGGGAGACTGGCATGGGCGCGCTGCGGAGGAGACTGGTGCGGGTGCGGGCGTGCAGGGAGGCGGCAAGCGCAGGTGAGCGGGTAGGCGGCAGGTGCGCAGTAGCAGCTTGCTCATTCAGAGATCGGTAAAAAAGTGGGGGGCATCCTATACATGGGGGCATCTTACAGTCGGAAAAATATGGTAATCTTAGAATCATTTATAATGACAGAATTCAAAAACCTACCAACATGAAATTGTTTTTCAGAATAGTCTGGCAAAATAAACACTTCCCACATGAAGTTTACACTCACAATTTTCATCCATGTTTAAAAAAGCAATACTAACATTAGAAAGCAGTACTTATCAAAATTATTCTACCAATGTGAAAAATACAAACAAATACTCTTCAGTGCTGTCGTTCCCACAGATATATTTCTCATGAGAGCAAAGCTGTTTACAGAAGACCTGCCTTTATTTACAAGAAGTATTATCTATAATTGGTAATCAAACAAAGAAAGCTATGGATTGGAAACCAAACAGAAGATAATAGGGAAAAGGATTTCTTTAATAACCTTCCCTCAGATAACAGAAAAAAGTCATCTAAACCAGAACCAGGATAATTGAAGGAATAACTAACATATATCTAAAGAAAATGGGAATTAAGTTTAATTGGAAATTAGTAATTAAAATTAGCAAGCCATTAAGTATTAATATCATATACCTACAAATTTTCAATATTCAGTGATCCAACATTTGTTGAATTCATTCACACGTGGGGCACATGAGTCTTTATTAATGCAGTTCTTAAAATAGACTCTAATGAGAGACTTGAGATGTGTCAATTAGAATATTGGAATGGGACCTGGGAGATCTAGGGTGTAGTTTCAAACGAGCTATGAAGAACTTGATAGGGACAGTCATTGACTCTCAGCCTAACCTAACTCACATGGTTGTTTTGAGAATAAAGGGGTGGGGGATAAAACTATGTAAGCCACAGTGGGATCCTTGTCAACAGGAAAGATGGCAGCATAGAAATATAAGAAATGAATGATAGATACAGAAATTGGCTTACTACTGCCTCCCCTTTTATATGATGTTATCATATGTATGCTATGATTTTAGCTGCAATAATTTGATATTATTGTTTTTAGTGGTCAATATGCAGCTCTTCTTTATTAATCTTAAGTCATAAGTTGTATCACTAATTACTATGGGACACTAACCAATGTCACTGCTCCACTTGTGCTGTTGACATGGAAATAGCATAAGTGATCTCTAGCACAGTGCCAATAGTATTAGCTGGTATAACAGGATTTCCAGGGAAAACCATTGTGCCAGTATCTGCTACGGGTGTCATATCAGAGGCTGCCTATGTTAGCACTACCAGAATGGTGTAACTGGAGCAGCAGCACTAGATACTGACCAAAGGTGTTTTATGGTTTTACGTTACATAAACAATACTTTTTACAAGTAGTATGTTGAAAGATGCCTTGGGAGCATTTTCCCCTTAAAAACAGCCTGATAATAAAAGCAATTCAAAATAAAATTGTATATGTGCTAAAGAAAAAATATATACTACTACTGTGTCACTAAAATCTGCTTCTTGACCAGAGACTGGAATGTAGCCAATGTAAAATTATTTCTATACAGGTGTCCAGGTGGAAGCTTGGAAACTTCTTAGATAAAAATTATTTCATAAATTGTACTTGAATGGAAAACAGAATTAAAGATAAAATTGTTAAGCGTGCACACACAGAAAGAGAAAGGAATAAGCAGTGCTGAGAACAAGGTAGCATGGCTCCTGTACAGAGAATTCTTGACTCCACAATCATTGAAAGTCCTTGGAAAAAATATAAGGGTGATCTGACAGTAAATTACAGTTTTGGATTTCCCAAAAGTTTTTGATATCAGAACATTTGCAGCTTCATGGTACAAAGCCTACATCCTGTTCAGGGTTCATTCTTTACTCTGAAATAATTTATACAGACTATGTCAAGAATGCAGATGTTAAACTTATTCCTCCTATATCCTGACAAAAGGAGATGTGTTTCTTTTCAAGTAGTGCTTATAGTGTACTCAGAATTGGCCAGTGTTTACCTTTTTCTGCATGTTCTATAATTTGACGGATGGCTTTTTTCAGACTATTGGCTCTCAACATTAACTGCTCACGTGGATGAAATATCTGAGGACGGGCAGTGCATGATGACCCTACTGAATGCTCACTAGAAGAATCACAAGCACTGCCAGAACCATCACCATCTTCTGTTTCTTCTGCAATGGTAGGAGGTGGGTTTGGCAAGGACGACAAAGCTTGAGATTCTTCATTCAGTGTCTTCAAAAGAGAATCCAGCTTTTCTTTCAGAACAGAGCACTACAAATACAAAGCAGAAAATTTTGATAGCAAATGCATACACTCTGTGTTTGTGTGTATTCATGCGTATGCTTATTAGAGAATGATAATGAAGTAGATTATAGGGGAAGGGAGGGATATTTTCCCAAATACCTTTCTGGCCATGACTTCTGACTCATCAGAACTTTCTGGTGCTTTCTCATATGCTTTTCCTACTCGAGCTACAAAATCCTTCACAGTCTCACAGAGCACCCTAAGGAAGCGTAACAGATAAATAAGAATTATTGACTCCTATTTGCAATGTAGCTGGCTTCTACATATGATATTGAATACTTACTTGGCTGATGAGATGACCACTGAATGTTGGTCAGATGTCAGGATTTTGGATAAATGAGCAGCCACAGAGTCTTCATAGAAGAGAATCTGCTGCACCTTGCAGTATTCAGAAATAGATAATTGTATCACTTCTTTTGCAAAGCAGAAGGTGAACATTTACTAGTATTTAGGGGTCTGTATGAGCCCTTTCAGAATCCACCCCACTAGCATCCACAATTCCTGGTGAGCACCCCACAAATGCAGGGTGCACTCACTGGTAACTTGGACTCAGGACTACTGCAAAGCAGACCAGAGTCTGGGGAGCTAAGCTCAAGGAATCTGACAGGTTCCCAACCCCAAATGCACATTCTTAGTACCTGCTGCATGACACTAAGCTCTAGTCATGAGTTCAATTTATTCTACAGTGAACATTCAAAGCACATCATGATAAAGTAATATCTGGCAAAGGTAGAGACTGTTATAAAATAGAGGTGGGGAACTTGTGACCTTCAAGTGTTGTTGGACTACAACTCCCATCATCCATATCAGCCATGCTATCTGGGGCTGATGGAAATTGGATTTCATTATCATTGGGAATGCTAGAAATTCCAGTCTCAGCTGCAAAACTTAAAATTCATTTGTGTTATGATTTTTTTTTAAAGTAGGACTTTGGAGAACCGCTTAGGTTTAAGCATCTCTTGAGTTCTTACTACATAGTTATCCCAGTACAACAGCCATGCTTTGTCTTAGAGCTCTCATTCTAAAATAGTCAAGAGATCTTTCTCCACAAATTTCAACTCTGTCTTCCTCTGCTATGATCCCATTTTCTTTGCTTTACACTATTCTACACATCAGTCATTGTTTACCTCAGAATCTTCGCTGAAATCTTCAGTAACCACAGAAGAAGATGCTTGACGAGGGAGCTTTGTTTCATACACCATAATACTCCACCTATTAAAAAATAAGATACCTCAGCTTTTCATATGAGGGCTCTATGTATAGGTTTTATGAAAAGGAAACATGAAGTGGTTGCACTAGTGGTTCTAGTGGACTACAGCATTTTCCTATCTCCATCTCTGTGTCATTGGAAATGAACATGGGAAGTGGTTCATTTTGAATTTTCGGTTCATGTGCCAAATGCTCAAAGATATAGAGCCAGCAGGCATGGATACACAAATGCACATAGACAACTCCCATATCTGCAAACTCACACCAAGTAAAAATAGTCTTAAATTATTGGAAATAAATTAACAGAAAGAGCAACTGCCTCTATAATTAGGACATTCTGATCACAGATGAGGCATTCAGAATTATACATAACTACAGCCAGTCCCTGGCTTACGAATGAGTTCTATTCCTGGGAAAATGGACATTTGTCTCTAAGTCCAACTTTTATACAAGTAGGATCATGTATAGTTGGACTTCACAAATGTAGGGGTTAGAACCCCCATGAAAGTGGAAAAACTGTTAACATATCTAGCCTGCCCACCGCTGCCCCCCAAACTCACCAGTGTCTCCTCTTTCCAGCAAGGGAATGCTGGAGAGATTTCCCTCTCTGGATGGGCAGGGAAGAAGACGTGCTTTGGAGACCTCCCTCCCTCTCTCTCTTCCCCGCTCTATGGTGATGATGATTTCCCACAGTGATTTTTAATAATTAATATGCTTTTAAGTCAGTTCATTTGTAAGTATGGATTGTTTCTGACATGGATGTTCCTAACTAAGGGACTTCCTGTATATTGGCTACTATAGAAAAAGAGCCTACAGAAAAGACCAGATTAAAATCTGGCAGAGTTTATGCTTTTCAGGTTAACTGTTTCAACACACATCCTCTTAAACAGAGTTTGACTGACAATAACACCAGCACCAAGTGACATAGACATGTGACAAAGTTTCAGATGTTATCATTTTGAACTTTACTATTTGTAATACAAAAGTGAAACAACAACAGTTCATAAATAAAATGGTAAACCTTCCAATGAATTTAATGATGTATCAACTACCTAGACATGTGTAGGACTGCAAAATAATATATTGTACCAAAGCAACAGAGTCAGTATTGTGCCTGTAGATTTGGAAGCATCTTTATAAACTGAGCTAAGCTGCTTACCTGTAACTGTCATTCTTTGAGTGGTCACCTGTTCATTCACACATGTGGGCTCTGCATCTTCATGGAAGGTTTTTACCAGGAAGATTCCATAGCTAAGAGCATTTTGGCGGGAACACCTCCCCCACCTCAGTGTCCATATAAAAGGTAGGAGCTCCTGCCATTTCCCTCAGTTCCAAATGAGACCACCAGGTGGCCTTGTGATGGGGGGGTTCATAGTATAGACCTCACATTCAGTGAACTAGTACAGTATAAGGAAAAAACAGTGAAAAACAAATAGAAAGACATGAACAACTACTGCTAATTTGGTCATGGCACCCAGTGGGGTTGGTGGGTGGGTTGTATGAATGCACAGATGACAGCTCAAGAAACAACATGTAACAACCTGCCTTTCTTCTTTGTGGTCTCTGTGCATCACACATATGGGCAACTAGCAAGCTCACCCATTCCTGGTGGTGGGTTGGTGTTGTCCCTGGCTACTTTTCCAAATGCACAATCAGCCTTGGCATGAACATCAGGTTGGTAATGCTTTGCGAAGGTGGATGGTATCAACCAGGTCACTGTCTTGCACAGGTCTGGTAGAAAAATCCTGGTATGCAGAGACTTTTGACCAGATTTGAAGTTGCGGCCCTGATAGTTCATAGGCCAATGAAATTGTCTGCACCACCCAGGTTGAAAATCTTTGTGGTCAAAAGGGCTGACCTTTAGCCTTGCCTCCATAACAAGCAAAATGTTTTGGGTCAAGGATTCAGTCCTGGTAGAATGCAGCACACTACACTATCCAGGATGTGCTGTGTAGACTCCATTGGGATGGACAGGGATGGAAAAAATGCTAGCCAAAAATTTTCTTGGTTTAAAGGAAAAGATGAAATGATCTTCAGGAGAAAAGAAAGATACAGATTCAACACCATCTTGTCCCAATGAAAGACAAGATATGGAATGTTCTTTAGTCCTTCCAGGAAGCACTTACTCATCATGTACAAAAACCTGAAGAGCCCTGAATTGTGCCATGGAAGGAGAAGATGGCCACTAGGTGAACACTTTCAGTCCATGCTGGAGCAGTGTGACCAGATACAGAAGGATCTGTTTGAGCAGTTGTGGGGATCAAAGTGTTGAATGTCAGCAAAGAGACAGAAAATCTTCCAATTCACAGTCTAAGACTTACTGGTCACTGGTTTCAAAGGTGCCTCCAGTATGGTATTAAGCTCAGCATGCAGCAGTGAATGCATGTCCCCTGTGGATGAATAAAACTGAAAACTGGAACATCTCCCTCCTGTACTGGAACCAAAGAAAGTGCCTGTAGGACAGTGCTATTCAGATGTGAAAACAGGCATCTTTAAGGCTGCTGAATTCAAACTAGTCCCCTCATTGGAGAAGAGTGAGGATTCCTTATGCTGTAACCATTCAGAACTTTTTGGGTTAAATAAAGTAATTAAGGACTCATAGGTCCAGGACTCAAAGCCCTCCATTCCATTTCAGTACCATAAAATAGCGTGAGAAGTAGCCACAGTAAGCAGACAGAGTGGTGATCCACTCAAACGCTCTCTTCAATAATGAATTTCCTCCATCAATGCTAGTGAGGGTCATGTTCTGCACATGATACTGATGGGTGGGAGGGTGTCAAACTCAGTCTTGTAACTCCTCTCTACTATTGACAACACCCACAGGTATCTGAAGTAATCACCTGCCAGGCAGGCAAGCAGGGAGAGAGATGGTCCTTGAAATCAAGAAAAACAAGTGGGAGAGAAGGCAAGGGGCCAGTCAATGCCTCCTGTTTCTGTTGCGATCAGAGCACATGTGATCCTAGTGGAACTGTACTAGAGGCTTGCACAATGCTCGCCGAGACTGTGGTTGGGAGAAGGTTGGTATGAGTCCTGAACCAAGCCCCTTATGTGGCCTGGCTGATGGTTGCTGGAAAAAGTCCATCTTGCTCGACATGGTCCACACTTTGTAGATGGTGTCCATTCATTTGTCAGTCTTCACAGTAAAGAGCCAGTCCCTGTCAAAGGGCAGGTCCTTAATATGGGAACAAACCTCCTGAGAGAGATCAATGAGTAGTCAGGTGTGTCTCCTCAGAGCTACTGTGCCAATCATAGCCTTCACTCCACAGTCTGCCTGGTGCCTGGCAGTGTTGATTTGTATCCTGGAGAGGTACACTACCTCACTCTGGAACTCCCTGGTAGGTCCCACTGCTGCTCAGGCAGGAAAGTCATAGGGAGCCAAGCTTATCTCATAATAGCTGGTACTTCATCATAGATGCACCTCCCAAGAGCATCCAGGTGGCATCCCTATTTGTTGAAGGGTGTGAAGTGATGCAAATTTCCTTGCACCAACTCAACGACCGCCAAGCTCGGTTAGGGGTGCTGAAACTAAAAGGTCACATCCTTCTTCTGCACTTGATACATCCCCTCCTCCAATCATTTCTAAGTTGGGGCTATCATAGATGCTGCCCTGCTGGATTGTGGGCAGCACGGTTAGCAGGAAAGGGATGGCAACTGGAGTCAATTCATCAGTCTGAACAGCATCAAAGGCTGGGTCCAACATCTTTTCTGGTTGCAGCTGCACAGCGATACTGAGGGCATGTGTACTTGTTCCACAAAATTACCCATGTCTGCTGATGGTGAAGTGGGATTTTCTGCATGCACAGTTGCATCAGGAAGAGTAGCTGGATTTGACTGATGGAGATGTCTTGCAAGCGTCTGTCAGTGAGGATGGATTGGAGAGTGCAGGGGCAGGAGAGCTGGATCAGTGTGGGGGTACAGAGGTGGAGGTGGGCAGATCTGGCAGCCTGTGAAACTGCAGAGGCAAAGAAGTTGGCCAGAGTCTTGGTGGAGTTGGTGGATAGTGACAGGATGTCTGGGTGGTAGACCAACCTATACTGAGAGTCCTATGTGGAGCCATGGTGGTAAATGCCCCAAGGAGTGAAGAGCCCTTGGTAGGGCTATGGAACAGGAGAGATAGATTGAAATTTCTTTGATTGCTGTTTCCAAGCAGTTCTGTGGAAACCAGACTGGTGATGGCACTCTCAAAACTGTACCCACTGGATAGAGATGAGAAGGTGGAATATCCCTGAGCTCCCTGCTCAGACACTGAGGCCCAGATAGATTTGAGACTTGTTGCTGACCTAGCATCTTCATGGGTGCTTCGTTCCACGATGAACTGCACTGGCCAAGAGTCCCTTTGGTGCCACTTCGTTTTGGTGACTGAAGGATTCACTGCTTTCACTTCTTTGGCCTGTTTGGCCAACTTTTTTGTCTGGGTTTCAAGGACCTGCCTAGAGTTGGAGGGCTGAGGGAGCCATGGATGGAGCTATGGTGGTTGCTGAAGGTGTAGACCTTGCCGAGGCTGTGAAGGCAAGAGTGGATAGGCGAGAGAGCTCAAGCACACCCAGGGCACAAAGGAAGTTTTATTCCAGAGCTGAGTGTGTGGGCAGTCAGCTTGAGGCTTACAGAACTGCTTAAGTAAAGGCCTGGCAGCTGGAGTCTTGGTCAGCCATATGCTTCTCACCCAAGCAGAGCAAGTGCCCATACATTGGAGGCGGCTTAGTGCTACACCTCATACTTCCTGAATGGTGCCTTCAATGCCACCAAGAATCAAGGAAGGGAGATGAAAGATGAAAAAGAAAAATATAGGAACCCACCCCACACAAGTTATAAGGTAGGTATGATAAGAGAGGAACATGAACAGGGTTTCTTTTCTTTTGTTTATTTTTGGTGGATAGGTCAGAAAAGGGTGCCTTTTTTTAGGTGAAAAGCTTGCAAGAGGAAGAAAAATGTTGATATGTAGAAGACAACACTAAGTTTGTCAAGGGAGAAAGGAGAAAAACTTTCAGAAAAATCAAGAGGGAGAGAGAAAGAGAGAAACTTCTCAAGGCACTGAAGGCAGCTGAAGAAAAATTGAGGGAAATAACAGGAACTCCTCCCTTTTATATGGACACTGGGATAGGGGAGGGGTTCTCACCAAAACATTTTTAGCTATTGAATCTTTCTGGTAACAGGCTCCATGCAGGAGTAAAGCCCGTATGTGTGACCATGAAGAAGAACATGTATACCAGCAAGGCTGGAAAGACAGATTCCAACATTATAGTTCAAGAGCTTTCTGACTTACCTGTATAAAAGAACACCTTCTGTCATGCAAGAATCAGAACCCAAAGAAAATAATGCTCTTTAATGTAAGTCTTCCCTAGAAGCTACCATTTTTTAAAGAACTTAGTACATGTTCATATTTGGAGTGCAGAATGATGACATGGGACTGGCATCAAAACCTGGCACTCACCTGTCAAGCATTTTGGTACTGGCCCTTTCCAGCTTTTCCAGTATCTGTGGGAGTTGGGTGTCATCATCACAAGCAGATCCCCAGCCGAGCACACGGGCGAGATCATTGCCTGTGCCAAGCGGCAACACTCCCAACTGGCACTTTATATAGGAAGGAGAGAATAATAATAATTAAAAAAAGATCATCAAATGGGATTCACTTTCAACATCCATCCATAAATACCATCATAAAATGTATTTCTAAAAGAAAAGACAGTGACTAAGTGTGTAACCCACTGTTGATGTCTAATCATAGTTAGTTACCCATATGTGTAAATCTGAACCATTCGCAGCAGAGTGGCTTGTTTTTCCTCAGGAAACCATCCTGCCAACCCATGGCTTGTTTTAGGGGTTGTTGAACCAACAATGGATTGTCATGTCACCTGAACCAGGATGATCAACCTCAGTGTGGATTGTAACAAGTGGCAAGCAAGGCACTTGGCAAGAGTGGCAAAATCCTTTGCTGCTTTTGCCAGGCTTACCCTGCTATCACTAATGGCACTTCAGAAAGACTGTCACTGGTTTGTTCTCCCACAGTCCAATCATGATCCTTTTTGTTCAGGGTGTTTTGACAGGGGCATACAGATTTCATAGGCTTAATATGCCCCTGTCAAAAAGTCCTGCTTAATTTGGTCAGAAAACTTGATTTAAACAAAAGCTTCAGTTTTGATACCTGTCAAAACTCTGCTCCTGTAAAAGGTTACACTTTTCTACTTTCCTGGATACCGAGAGGCTCAGGAAAGTGTGGAAGAAGTGGAAGACACACTTCATTTTTCTAGAGATTAAAAAGAAGTTTGGCTGAAAAAATCGTAGGCTAACCCAAAACTACTGCTCATTTTTTGCAAATCCCCCACCCCATTGCTATGCTTATAGTCATGATAGTAGAAAGTACAGAGTTGAAAATCCCATGTTTTCCAAATAAACTTTCAGCCTTACATATTTCATTCTTCTAATCAAAATTGTAGTTTTATATGCTATGTGTTCTATATGCCCTATACCATCATACTTAGTAAATACCATACTCAGAAAGTATGGGAAGGTACCTGTTTATGGAGATTGAGGCTGTCAATTTCAGAAAGAACCCATCCAACACTTCCATCCCCACCACACACCAGAATTCGAAAGGTGTCGAATTTCTGGAATAAACGTAAACTGTACAGGGAAAAAGGTATATTTGGTATTAAGCATGTATGCCGTTAAAATAAGAGCATGCTTAACAAAATTTAATTCTATTGGGTTGTTTTTAGTATTAGTTCTACTCAGAGGAGATTCAGTGAAATGAATGGGATTTATTATATGAACAATGCACAAGAGCCCACTGTATGCTTTTTAGGGACAGGAATAAGGAAAACCTCAATTTCTAATTATATGCAACACAAAGACTACAGTTGTTACAGTTGCACAGCTTTTTAAAGCAGATACTACCTTTCCAGAACCACGCCAAGCATCATGCAATTTAATCAATAAACGAAAGGTCCTTCACAGCTTTGTAAAGAAGGGTATAATGTGCTTCCAGTAAGTGTAAATGGAACTATTTATTGTGCAGTGGTTGAGTATTTACTCTGTATGAAGAGCAACCAAGGTTCAATCCCTGACATCTCCAGTTAAAAGATCAGATAGTATAGATTATTCTTATTTCAAAACACACAAAAAATCCATTACAGCACTCGAGCAACAAGATATTCAATATAATTTTGCTGCTAGAAAATAGTAAGTCTCTTAAAAGATGGCAAAGTCCCTAGACTAGCCTTTCATAACTTGGTACGTTCCAGACATTTTGGACTATAATTCCCAGGATTCTTAACCATTAGCTATGTTGGCTGGAACTATGTTGGCTGGAGTCCAAGTTCAAAACATCTGAGGGGACACCAGATAGGCTGACCTCTCCCTAATGTCCGCATACATCATAACCTTAATGAAAATTACAATCTAAGTTTTGTGAAAACAGTGAGGGAGTTAACACAATGTGAAAACAGGACACATACTTAAAAACACTATCTTCAGGTTTAAAGTGTATCAGTTAAATAGCAGAAATGCATACCATTTCTCACAAAGGATCAGAGTATTCCATGAATACTAAATTTCTCTCCCTCAACCCACTCAAGTAACATGAACACACTATTTTTCTTTGATATTGTCACTACATTATACAAACATAGGTCCCATCTTTGGTGGCTGTTATCACTCTAAATGCATTACACTGTAAGACAAATGTTCAGAAACTCATTCAAACATGCAGCCTATCTGCCCAGCTGCTGGGGTAAGAATCAAACATCTTCAGAAAGAGAATGAGTTTAGGTGTTCCTTCACAATTTGCTGACATCTCTTACCCGAGGTGAGGTCCTCCATTCATGAGATCAAAGACCTGTGCAGGATTTAGCAACTGTTTGAATCTTCGTAGGAATTTTACACCCTGGTTATCTCCACTTTTGGAGTTTACAAAGACCAGCAAAGGGCTTGTACAAGAAGGGGGACAAGTGGCTTTCCAGAAACCTGAGTGGAATGAAGAAAAACAGAATATGATACAGCTCTAGTGCCATAGGATGGAGAACAGCCTAAGCACAATAGTTATATTGTGCCAGCATTCTAAATAAGTATACATGGTAGTTTCAGTATTCTATTGAAAGGTACATGTTCTAAAAGTGAAGTATACTTAGGATAGCACTTTAATTCTTGCAGGTATATTTTAGTTGATATACAAGATTATAAAATGCAATATAATGTTGTAGTGTTCGTGTTCAGGGTTCCAGCCTGTCAAGTCTAACCCTCTTCCAGGATTTACCATTCCATTTCCCCTCCCCAGTGATGGTCCTCTGGTCTCCCACATAAAGATGAGGCAGCATTTTCTGAGCACTGAGCATATGTGGTTCTCACTGGGCTGTTTTTAGTCCCTACCCTCTAAAGCTGTACTGTACTTCTGCAAACCTTGTGGTTCCCCCCCACCGCCACAAGCATGCTGCATTTCTCACTTGTGAACAGATGTTGCTCTTTTGATTACATAATAATCCAACTCAGAAAATAAGTTCATTATTCATATACAGCTTCATAAATATTTGATAACTGATTTGAGTGCTATAAAACGATCTGGAAGAAAATAACTTTCTCATCATCGAACTGCATCTTTGTTAGGTGTTTGATCTCAACAAATCTGCAGTTCAGTCACATAAAAAAAGAAAGAAAAGAAACAAGAAGAGAAAATGAAGAAAGATGGAGAAAAAAGAAAGAAGGAAGAATGAAGAGGAACGTTGTTGCCAAGTTAATGTCCTATGAGAATATTAGATTTGTTCATGTTACGCCAGCACTGCCAATCAAGCAAACGCTTCAGAAGCCAAAAGTTTAAGGCAACACTAAGAAATATTTAGACACTTACCATCTGAATCAATGCTGTTGAGAGCTGTGGGGGGAATGACGGATACTTTACAAAGTCCAAGAGGGCATTTGGTTGGTAACAAGTCTCTACATGAGGTATGTACCTAGAACAATAAAATTATACCGTCTAAGTTTTCCAGGCCTCACTTTAATTAACACTATACACAATTTCCCTCCATTCAGCTGTCTGAAAGACCAAGACAGTAAAAGAAAGGTACATAAAATAAACAAATCAGTATAGAAGTTCCAAAGCCAGTCCATGAGGGAAGAGGCAAGGTGAGAACTTGCAGCAACTGTACTCATTCTCAGTGCAATAAACCTTGGTTTATCATGACAGTATTGTTTTATCTGAGCAGTTCCTACTCTTGCAATATTTGTCAGCAGGCATTTACGAACCTGCTGACAGCAGGCATTTTACCCCAACAAAGAGTAAAAATGATTACATAAACCCTGGCTCTACCTAACTCAGTGGAAGACAAAACCAGTCCATTTTTATGGCTCCTGTAAACCTGATTCTGAAATCTATTAAGACTGACCAATAAATTAAGCAAGAATTGACAAAGAGTCTGACTGGTTTCCAATTTAACAATCTGAAAATGAAAGGAATAAATAGGAGATTCTACAGTATGTGAGATTAAATAATAATGGCATTTTAATACTAAAAATGAGATACACTGAGTTTATAAGAGGTCAACAAATGTCAGATGTAGTAAGCAGAGTTTTTAAATATTAATTATATTGAGAAACAAAATATAAAGGCAAGTATATTAGCATTAGATATATTTAAAGCCTTTAAAGTGTGGAATGGCCAACAATGAAGATTTTAATAGAGAAGATGGGATTTGGAGTAAAGTTTAAGGAAGTAATAAAATCAATTATATTCAGAAAATACAGCAAAAATAATTGCAAATGATGGTATTACAGAAACAATAATCCTAAGCTGAGGGACGAGACAGAGTTGTCCTTTATCCCCAATGTTATTTGCTTTAATGATGGAAATATTGGCAAATGCAATTAGAAATGATATACAGATAGAAGGAATTGGCATATGTCAGAAAATCAGAATTAATTTATTTGCCGATGACACATTGTTAACATTTCAAGACCCAATAAATATTATAGAGAGAATATATTTACATATAAGGGAATTTGGGAAATACAGTGGATTGCAAGTTAATTGGGAAAAATCTGAAATGATGTTATATAATCATAATAATGTAGAATTGGATAAATTAAAAGAAAAATATAAATTAAAAATAGTAGATAATATTAGAGATTTAGGAATTGATATTCCAAAAGACAGCCAAGAATTAAAAAAGAAAAATTATGAAAAGTTAAACAAGGATATAAAAGATAAAATATGAAAATATGAAAATGTCCATGGTTTGGAAGAATAGCAGTAACAAAAATGAAAATTCTGCCAAAGATTAATTTTTTGTTTTGGATGATCCCAATCAGGTTTTATGATCAAGAATTAAAGGAATTGCATTAATTATTGGAGGTTTATTGTAATGGAGGGAAAAGAGCAAGAGTAAGTAAAGCATTATGGTATGAATCACCAAAAAAAGGAGGATTGGGCATTCCAGATGTTAAAAAGTATTGGGTTGCAAACCAATTAAAGATAGTTCCAGATATTATAGCCCAAAATAAAGAATTAGTATGAATTGATACTGAATTAAAAGAATTAAAGGGAAACAGGCGATCATTTAGAGTCATACTGGTTTAGAAAGATTATTCAGAAAATTCAAAATCTCTTTTTAAAAATTACAATGGAAGTATGGGAAAAATGAAGGCAACAGTTAATCCTGGGAGTTTCCCCATTAACACCAGTGGTCGAAATGGAGAAATTCCCAAAAATAGAATTAAAGGATTGGATTAATAAATTAAAAAATAACCATATATATAAATGGGAAGATTGGAAAAATATAATAGAATTGAGGAATGTATTGCCAAAGGTTAAATTAAATTGGTTAAATTTAATTCAATTAGAAAAATGGATAAAGATAGAGGACAAATTTAAAAAGGAAGAAAGACAATTAACACAATTTGAAATGATTATAAAAGAATGTGCGACTGAGAATGAATATACAACTAAAGGAAGAATTACCAAAATCTATAGGATATTAATGGAGTTAGGGGATCAGACAAACAGTTTAAAATCAATTTGGGAAATGGATGTAGGCGAGATAAAAGACAAGGATTGGAAGTATAGTTGGAATAGAAGAGTATGTCAGTAAGAATTAAAGAGCACGGACACAAGGTGATATGGAGATGGTATTTAACACCAGTAAAGTTAAATCAAATTGATGATAAATACTCTAATATATGTTGGAGATGTGGTAAAGAGATTGGAACTTACAAACATATGTGGTGGGATTGTGAAAATATACAAAAGATTTGGATTATGGTATTTAAGGAAATTGGAGAAATTTTAAATATAATTTAGAAATGTCACCAAGAATGGTGTTATTACTGTTGATAGAAAAACAGGATATAAATGAAGCTAAGAAAGAATTGATTGTAAGTATGATAATGGCAGTTAGGCTAGTGATAGTTAAATGTTGGAAACAGAATTCGGTTTTGCAATGGCAAGAATGGTATAACGAAATATGGAATATGGTAATTAATGATAAACTGATGACAGAAATAACAATTTAAAAAGGGTTAATGAAAGCAAATGAATATAATGAAATTTGGGAAGATTTTGTAAAAGCAGTACTGATAGAAGGCAAAGGCTATAAACCCAATCAAGATTATATGAATTTCTGGAGGGGATATGGGTTTAATTGAAGAATATTATATATTATATATTGGTCTCCGGAGTGGTTGGTGCACTCCATTTATTCTTTTTTTAATTATTGTGTTCTTGTTGTGTTATATTATTATTGTTGCAATTGTATTTATGGTTTTTTCTGTTAAAAAAAATAAAAAAAAGGTAAAAAATGAGATACACAAAGAAACAGCCTTTGATCTTTCTCAAAGGCCTTGAATATTTTTTTAAAGGTTTGTAATTAGTCATAATGTTTCTCTCAAATAATGTAAACGATTAACATGTAAAATAGTAAAGTTTGAAGTTTTGGACATCTTAGGCCTCTTTCTTTTTGTTTGCTTTTCTAATATTCACATCAACAAATTTATTATTTTTAGGATTTGCAATTAAGAAGCAATAATGCATCCAAAATAATTCAATGCAATTGTGTTCAAATACAACCTGTTAATATGCAGTTCCCAGAATGTAAGAGCAGCTTATATTTAGGTCTCAAGTTCTGCATTTGAAAGCTCCAATATATTTATTACTGCTTTCAGATGTGATCTTTAGTTTATGGCAAAGGACCAGACAGGCAGTCATCTGGTATTCCACTCAGTTTATTCAATTCAAGCGAAATGTCCTTCTGTCATTCTGGTAACATCATGGCAGATTGATAGGTATGCCTTAAGTTGCGATCACAGCAATTGGATAGTCTTCCAAACTTCAGAGAAGCATCAACAGATGGCTATTTATTTTATTATACTTGCCCATGCTCTCATGACCACAAGAATGATAAAAGTAAGCTAAAAACTTTCTTCTTCGCACAGGTGGCATTATCAGGATGCACACATACAATGCAGCAAAAGAATGTAAAAATATATCAGTAGTGCAGTGTAACTGCACAGCTCACCATGGCTTTGCACCAGAGACAGCGCCAGTCTTGCAAGCGCAGGACGCTGCCACAAGTTTTATCACACACCATGCATTTGGCACTCACAGGTAGATTTCCTTCAAGCCACTGATGTGGCATTGAAATCTGCAAACCGAACAAAGAAGAAATGTATGTCTTTACCATTCTAAGATAATAAAGACATTATCTAAGGCTTCTCCAAAATTTTAAATAGTTGCTTTTCTATCACTCTCAAGAGAAGCAAATATTGACAAGGTTCAGAATCAAGGCCTCTCTTCTTAAGAACATCAAAGCAGCCCTGATGGATCAGACCAAGGGCCTACCAGCATGCTCCTAACAGTGACAGTCAGATGCTTCCAGGCAGGCTTCCACAAATCAAATCATCAGTTCATGTTGCAGGCCTTCTGGCAAGAAGGAGTCTCTACAGCACATATCCCATCCCTGAGATTTCTGTTAAACTGAAGTTTGAGGAAGGAATCTTTCCCACTGCTTCTTTTTTTATCCAAATCCAAGCAGCAAAAATATCCACATCTCCCAAGCCCCCTGTGTTTGCCAGATGGTTCAAGAGACAGACACACAGGTCTTCTCTAACTTGCGCTGTGGTTGAGATGGTAAGAATCAACAGGAGTTTTGACCTTCTGCAGTGTACATTGAAGAATTTCCTGCCTCTCCCTCAAACCCCAGGCAGATGCCATGGAGCTCCAGAGACAGGTAGTAACTTTTCTAATTTGCATGGATGTTTGGAGAAGATAAGATACCTTGCATGCATACTTGTTCTTTCTTTCTTTATCGATTTATATCCTGCCTTTTTCCTACAAAGGGCTCAAGGTAGCTTACGTCATTCTCCTCCTCCATCTTATCCCCACAACAACAACCCTGTGAGGTAGGTTGGGCTGAGAGTCTGTGACTGGCCCAAAGTCACCCAGTTGGCTCCATGGCTGAGTGGGGACTAGAACCCAGGTCGTCTGAGTCTCAGTCCCACGCTCTTAACCACTACACCACACTGGCTCTTTTTAAATTTGTCATTTCATACACCACACTGGCTCTTTTTGTCATTTCATACTATACCAATTTAAGTCTACAGATGCCCTTTCTAAAAAAATGTGCTTCACATACTGGTATCAGTCATCTGCACCAATGGCTGCTCTCATTCACTCTGTGTGTCTGTGATTTCCATCCCTATCATGCAGTGGCCCAATATGAGTAGTTTCCTGTTTATGATGTATTTTAAGAACTTTGTATTTGTCATAATGCTATCAACAGTTTGCTTATTCCACTTGTTTTTTGCTTGACGTATCTCCAGTATGTAATTGTTTTGCCAGAATTTGTGCTTGTTATTTTCCTCATTTGGACATTTGCTTTGAATAGCTTTTTGAATTTGCATGCTAATGTGCATATTGTTCTTCTAAACTGTTGCATTTATGTATATATTTAATTTTAGCTTCTATTTAATTCTGTTCAGTGTCCTGGAGTGTCTTTTAAATTTTAGGTACAATGGCTATTTAAAATTACCTCTAGGCATCCTGATTTTCCCCTTCAACTTACTTTGAACTAAACCCCTAATTTTTGAAGTTTCCTCTTTTAGAATTACTTCTTGGCAACTTTTGCTTAACTTATATGTTTAATTTTATAGCATCATGAAACAGTGGCTTGACTACATCTGTCACTTGAGGTTTGGCACTGTTTAGGATTGAACCAAGAACCATTCTCTCTCTAGAATAGTTTATCATAGGGACAGCTAACATATAAACCTTTGTCAGAGTAATAATATTAACATGCAGGGTAAATAAAATCAACCATTTTTTATATTTTCTCCTTTTGAGAGCTAACCTGCTAACTTTCCACACTTTAGAGCACCCCAGAGTTCTGGCCACAGTATATCCCAAGCAGGGTTATTACTTTTGGCTATTCCCACCCACAGTGACTTTGTGAAGTTGTTCTGAAGTTTTCTGCTTTGTTGGACTCATCTTTGGAATAAAGAGTGCCACTTCCTTACGCTCTAGAAGTACATATAGACCTTCCTCCCACTCATCCCCAGAGCACCTTAGAGAAGGAGGGTGTATGTCTAGATTCAGGCTAGCTTTCCCCACATGACAAAAGGTCTTGTACCTACCCCATCTTCATCTTCAATGATATCTTTTCCAATAGATGCCAACGTTGTCCATTTGCAGTTATTCGTTGCACGGACAGCACACCTCTTGTGGGCTTTAAATTTGCATACTAGAAAAAAAGGGGGAGGGAGATCAATCTTTCTAAGCACAGTCTCTATAATGAGCTGATCACAGCAAACTCCTAGGTTATGCCTAACTAAAATGCTAAATTTAAAAATACTAGTTTTCTTTCGTTTTAGCATCAAATACCTAACCAATTTGGTTCTGTTCTAAAGCCAATTATTCTCAAAATATTATAACAATTCCCATTCTCAAATGACACATTTGAAGCAGGCATAGTTTACCAAAAATATTCTAAACTACTCTAGCAATTCTATAGGAAATAGCAATGATAATGAATTAGCAGATAAATTTCTTTCATTACAGTTCCATTGCTCAGATAATCCAAAATGGCATTCTGGACTTTAGATGGATGTTCCCTCCCACAACATTTATAACACCCTAAGAATCTTAAAAATGTAAGAACTCTCTAAAATTCTAAAAGCCTGGGAGGAGGAAAATGCTGAAAGGACAGCCATGTAGTTGCCAGGTAAGTCTCTTGTGGGGAGAGAATTCCATAAACTGTTACCACCAAGGCACCCCTCTCCACTCACCACCTAGGTGACCTCAGGATGACAGAGACATCAAGAAGAGTTTGTGTAAAATTTTCCTAAGCTCATGGACAGAATGATGTGGAAGGAAGCTTCCTCTAGGTTCTGAGATCCAAAGATAACTACTATCACTTAGAACTGCACTCAGAAATTAATCACAAGTTGACTAACACATTCTTTAATTATTGGTGAGATGAGTTCCCCAAAACTAGTCTCAGTTAGCAACCTAGTGGCTCAATTTTGAACCCACTGCAATGTTCAAAGTCGGTCCCATGTACACTAGATTACAGTACTCAATCCTAGAAGCTACTAGCATATTGCATGGTCACAATTATCTATCACATACATACATACATAATTTTGCATCATTCTCCTCATTCTTCATTTGCAATCAAAAGAGGATTTACATATCTGGAACCATTTGCAAGTTTTGACAGAGGACATGGAAGGCTTAGACTATTACAGTATATCAAAGAAGTGAGTACACCCCTCACATTTTGTAAATATTATATCTTTTCATGTGACAACCCTGAAGAAATGGCACTTTGCTACAATGTAGTGAGTATTCAGCTTCTATAACTGTAAATTTGCTGTCCCCTCAAAATCACTCAACACATAGCCATTAATGTCTAAACTGCTGGCAACAAAAGTGAGTACACCCCTAAGTGAAACTGTCCAAATTGGGCCCAAAGTGTCAATATTTTGTGTGGCCACCATTATTTTCCAGCACTGCCTTAACCCTCTTGGGCATGGAGTTCACCAGAGCTTCACAGGTTGCCACTGGAGTCCTCTTCCACTCCTCCATGATGACATCACGGAGCTGGTGGATGTTAAGAGACCTTGCGCTCCTCCACCTTCCATTTCAGGATGACCCACAGATGCTCGATAGGGTTTAGTTCTGGAGACATGCTTGGCCAGTCCATCACCTTTACCCGCAACTTCTTTAGCAGGGCAGTTGACATCTTGAGGTGTGTTTGGGGTCATTATCGTGTTGGAATACTGCCCGGCCCAGTTTCCGAAGGGAGGGGATAATGCTCTGCTTCAGTATGTCACAGTACATGTTGGCATTCATGATTCCCTTAATGAACTGTAGCTCCCCAGTACCAGCAGCACTCATGCAGCCCCAGACCATGACACTCCCACCACCATGCTTGACTGTAGGCAAGACACACTTGTCTTTGTACTCCTCACCTGGTTGTCACCACACACGCTTGACACCATCTGAACCAAATAAGTTTATCTTGGTCTCATCAGACCACAGGACATGGTTCCACTAATCCATGTCCTTAGTCGGCTCGTCTTCAGCAAACTGTTTGCAGGCTTTCTTGTGCATCATCTTTAGAAGAGGCTTCATTTTGGGATGACAGTCCTGTAGACCAATTTCATGCAGTGTGCAGTGTTTGGTCTGAGCACTAACAGGCTGACCCACCACCCCTTCAACCTCTGCAGCAATGCTGACAGCACTCATACATCTATTTCCCAAAGCCAACCTCTGGATATGACACTGAGCACGTGCACTCAACTTCTTGCAGCTCAGTTTCAGGGTCTTGGCAATCTTGTTATAGCCTAGGCCATCTTTATGTAGAGCAACAATTCTTTTTTTCAGATCCCCAGAGAGTTCTTTGCCATGAGGTGCCATGTTGAACTTCCAGTGACCAGTATGAGAGAGAGCGATAACACCAAATTTAACACACCTGCTCCCCATTCACACCTGAGACCTTGTAACACTAACGAGTCACATGACACCAGGGAGGGGAAATGGCTAATAATGCCCAATTTGGACAGTTTCACTTAGGGGTGTACTCACTTTTGTTGCCAGCGGTTTAGACATTAATGGCTGTGTGTTGAGTGATTTGAGGGGACAGCAAATTTACACTGTTATACAAGCTGTATACTCACTACTTTACATTGTAGCAAAGTGTCATTTCTTCAGGGCCGTCACATGAAAAGATGTAATAAAATATTTACAAAATGTGAGGGGTGTACTCACTTCTGTGATATACTGTATATCCATCCTGAATGGCTATGGACTAATGCAGTTTGGTTCCAACTGATGCCTTCCTGCAAGATGAATGTATTCATGCCTCAGCTAGGATAGTATAAATGGCTGTTACCTTCACAAGAGAGTCCATGGGATGTAACCCCAGAAAGTGCCTCCCGACACACATTGCAGTATGTTGGTCGAGCATGTGAACAGGCGTACCAGTTATGCATCCCTGAGAAATGGTCCATACTGTACTGGGTGGACTGAAAATGAATTCAGAAATGCTAAGCTGTTATTCCTATGGCCACTACAACAAATATAAAATTGAGCTTTTAAAATCATTTTTATGAGACAGAAGCATTATCTCCATAGCTACAGAAAAACAGAAGGGACAAGAATGTCATGCTGTAAGGCAAACAGGAGGAAAATGAACAATAAACTGAAAGGACAGCATGGGGTGAAATGTGAATGAAATGCCCAGCAAGCATTTCTGCACTGAGCACTAGAATACAGTCAACCTTGAATTTTGTAAATTGCAGATTTGATAGCTACAAACAAGAGGGATTCTGAGACTAAGCTTTCTCCATGAGCATTAATAATAAAGATTGTCATTTAACCAGAGTTGGAAGGGAATAAAAATCTAAACTAGGGCCCCAATCTATACTCCTGGGTTCCTTGGACAGCCTTCCTTTGGCCCCACAATTGTTTAGGGGCTTCACAGGTTTTGTGCAGTTTTTCACCATTTTAAACAAATGAAAGGCTGCTTTCAAGGCTTAAATACTGGTAATAAGGGCTTTAATCTGCAATATACTGCTATTTTTGGCCCCTTTGGTCCCAGTAACCACTGGAATGTGACCTCAAAAGGCTTTATAAAATTGCATTTGGACTTTGGGCTGAAACAGGTTCTCTAACCGTATCTAATCCAACTCCTTACTGCAGGATAAAATCATCCACCAATCCTTCTCAGCACAGGTTGCAGCATCAAGAATGGATGGGAGCAGGGGGGAGCAGGAAGTGCCAATGTTCTCCCTCAAGTTGTCACTGTACTTTTACCAACTGATCATTTATTGTCATGCAGATATATAACATTATGTATATGCACACACATGCACACATGTGTACATGCATTTGTTTTCAACTTGTACAACCATAGAAGAGGTGGTTTCCAAAATAAAACCAGTACTTGAATACTAACTCTTATACTACACACAGCTCTTCTATTTTATTGTTGTACTCTAAACCAAAGATAGTAATTGAGTAGTATCATTCATTTTGGGGAAAATATTCTTTTTGGTGTCAGGCAACACCCTTTCCCATTATTTTAATGTTTAATTAATTTTAATTGGAGTTTTAGTATATTATGGCCAGATTCTGTGGGGCTGTTCTAGTTATTTATTGTAAGCCATCCTGAGACATTCTGTAGGGGAAGGGATAGAAAAGCTTTTAATAAATAAACAAACATACAAATTCAATTATTCTTTCCTATCTTGGATTAATCACAATTACAAGACTGGAAGATCTTTGTACTACAGAGTAGCCATTTTAAATTTATATTACTTATAAGATGTTCTGATGCAATTACCCCGCAGAATAAGGAACCATACTGATGAAACAGACATCATATATGAATGGCAAGTGGTAAGCCGTCCTGAGATATTGATATAAAGGATGGCATACAAAAGCTAGAAGGAAGGAAGGAAGGAAGGAAGGAGGAAAGAAAGAAGGAAGTTGGAGGTCAGGCTATAATAAATAAGGCTACCTCAAAATGTTCACGATTCTGTACAGTCTTCAGTGCTGCAATCCAGTCTTCCATTTCTTTTCTGTTATCTGCACACAAGATGAGTTTTCGACATGGAGTAATAACCTGCAAGGTAAGAGAATTGTTTACAAGTTGCAGAGGTACCAGGAGAAGATGAAAATGGAAAATAATGTCTTCCTTATCGGGACTTAAGTTTCTGAGTACAAACTACTTCCTCAGATACTGAAGAAACAGAATCTTCCATTGAGCAATCGCGTTTCTTTTAATAGCAAGGGGGGACCTTTGAACCCTTCCAGGTGACAAACACTACCAAATAATCCTTCACTAAATTCTATTCATAGAACTGCTATAGTAGTTTTTATCACAATCCAGAACAGTGATATGATAGTCTCCAAACCACCACCATCATCACACATATCCAGGTTGCCTTGCTGCAAGAAATATAGCTTTTCTTCATTGTTGTATGAGCAGGATATATACATTCAGAGGCAGAGTCCACATCTTCCGTAAGTTCTTAAATGTGTACTACAGAATTTTTCACCACACATGTACACACATACCATGATTCTATATGCATCGAGGCTATTTGGCTCACAGAATGAGTTTACACAGTCTTTTAAATATCCCATGTGACAAAATTAAACATTAGGGAAAAGCCCCTAACTCCATGAGTAGCTGAATAATTAAGCAACTTGTCCAGGGATACTACAGTTTCTAGAAAATGAGGACTTAAGCTTACGCAATGCAGATTTAACACCTGTCTCTCACAGACGTAGTTAGCATAGAAAATCAGACCAATAATTTGGGAATTAAAAACAAACAGTAGATTTAATATACACCTTACTAAAAAAAGATAAATAATCCAATAAGGAAGTGAGCTTTACATACAAAAGAGGAGTCCACCTGTGTGCAGCCAATGTCAATCCAATATGCATCAGGTTGTCTTATTATTACTACATTACATTTCTATGCTACTCATAGTTGAAGCTCTCTGGGCAGTTCATAACGGGGGGGGGGGGGGGGGGGTGTTGCTGATCATTCCACAACCAACAGAATGTTCTTTCGTAATACTTCAACAACTGACCTTCTCAGTGGCAGAACCACCTTCTAGAAAACTCTCCTCTGTAGAGTTTGGGAGACAGAAAATGTGGCACATTTCAAACACCTTCTAAAAATATGCTTGTTCACCCAAGATTTCCCTGGTTTGCAATTAATCATATGCTGCTCCATCTTACGGCTCTTTGTACTGCTCTATATTGTTTTTGTAATTACAATAGTTCTTAATAATGTATTTTAAATGTGAATTTTAATATTAATATGTGAACCACTCAGGATTTTAACGTATTAAGTGGCATTAATATATTAGTATTACTAATATGTGCATGATAAAACTAACTGGGGGCCCATTTGCCATCTTAAAACTGCAAAACAAGGACCCAGTTAACATCAAGAGCTTACTTTTTTCCTTTCCTGTTTAATTCTTTGCAACTTGAAACCTCTCTTCTTATCATCATCATGCTCATCATCATCATATGGTGCCCCTAATGAAAGGTTTAATTTTACTTGGCCTGAGAATCTGAGTGATCTTTTAATTTTATGGTAATAGAGGCTGTCATAGTCTACAGAAAATTAATTGAGTCCACACGAAATAGTTTTTTCTTTGTTGTTTTCCAGTTTAAAACTGTTTTAGATGAAAATACAATAGATAGTCTCCTAAACTAACTGCAGGCCTGTTCCATTGTTTCCAAGATGGCTAGGAAAACTTGGGAACAAAATGCACAAAACTGTTATGAGTGTGCATATGTAATCAACCAAAGGCATCTTCCTTTCAAATAAATCTGAAACCAGCCATGCTTCTTTGGTAACACTGAGCACCTTGCCCCACATAGCAGCAGAGACTTTGTACTGTATATTGTAAATCCATGCTCTTGGTTTTCCAGTACAACAGCAATCAGAGTTGAGATCTGAAAGCTAAAAAAGTTCAGCACTCACTTGATATAAATTTGGCATTTCCATATTAGGAAGTAAAGACCTAATTTAATAGGTCTTTATACTGATATACACTTTTGAGTAACATATGACTGCTACTGCATATAAAACCAAGACCCCTAGAGAAAGCACACAAGTTTGATTTCATGGATTTCTTATGGTATTTGTTTGGCTGTTTGGTGAATGAACATTTATAGGCTCAGACCTTGTTTTTTTTAATTGTTTCCTTTATATGAGAACAAAAGGTTATGGTGGCATTACTGATGAGTAAATTTAGAACATATCAAAGGAAGTGCTCCTTTGCCTAGTATATGTGTCTACTCAGATCCTCATTCATGCCTGTCACCAAATGGCATTAAAAAAGAACATTTGGTGTAAGAAATAAAAGTTTCCAGTCCAACTTGTAAGACTTTATGCACTGTGTCAACCATACACTTTTATATAACCTGAGGTGCCTGATCCTGCCTAATCTTGGAAGCCAAGCAGGGTTGGGCTTGCTTGAATCTGGATGGGTGACTTAAAATGGGAGCTCTGCTCCATACATATCCCGGTGTCAAGTTTAGGTTTTTATATGACAATGACAGCCTGAACATGTCTTGGTAGCTAGTGGGAAACCCATGCAGTTCTTTCAACACATTTGTTTATGGGAACATAACTGGGTATCCCAGTGAGCACCCTAACTGTTACATTCTGGATTAATTGTAGCTTCCAAATTAGGCACAGGGGCAGCCCCACATGGAGCAAATTAAAATATCCTGATCATGAAGTGCAGGATTCAGACATGACTTTACAACTAAACAATAACAACAACAATCATGAAGTTATCAATACATGAGTTACCATGCTTGGACTGTTCCTATCCACAACAGGCATAGTTGGTGCACCAATGAAAACTGCTTATGGGAGCTCCATACCACTGAGGTGACACAGATGAATCCAGAAGCACCCTCAAATAACATACCTGCTCCTTCAGAGTGATTATGACCCATCTGGAACAGACAAACAGTCCTGCTTTCATACCTGGAACTGTCCACCCATAGGGTCTCCGTCTTATCAGGGTTCAGTTTATTTGCCCTTGTCCACACTGTAACTGCATCCCCTGATTCAGATGTCAGAAAGAAAAAGAACCGGGGAACATCTTGCCTCAAATCTTCTAATGTCTGTATCCAACAGCCAAGGCACAGTCACCTAATGCTAGTTTCTGGAACTGACCCTACAATTAAAAGCTGAACCATTGTATAACAGTACCTCTGACTCCCAACTTAGAGTCCAGGAGGACAATGTGGACAACTGTACCAGAAACTGCTGAGTGATCAAGAAGAAATAACAGAATCACACTTCCCCTGTCCCTCTCCCAAAGGTCCTCCATCAAGGTGACTAAGACTTATTCCATTTCCTAAACCTAGACTGGAATGATACAATTATTATTATTACATTATGTACATACTTCACCTTTATTCCTCTTGGAAGGAATCCAAGGCAGCTTACAAGGTTCATGTCTTCTCCACTGTATCCTTACAACAACAATGCTGTGAGGTAGGTTAGAATGAGAGTTCATTACTGGCTCAAAGTTGCCCAACTTTCATGGCTGAGTGAGTGCTAGAACCCAGATCTGCAGTCTCAGTCCAGCATTCTTAATCAGTACAAGGAAACCTGCAGCTGAAACGCCACTACTCTCTTATGCACCTTACTCAAGTAGTGGTATTTATGACAGCATGAGTTATCACAAATTTCTCTGCCTCATCCACTGCCTTCTTCAAGACATTAGGAACCACACCATCATGTAGTGATGCGCTCACCATTTCCACAGTCTATCTGGTCTGTTTCCTGAATTCTACTCTAATAAGCCAGGAAAAGTGCCGAGTGAGCATGAGGTGAGTCACAGAGATGCTCCACATGTCTTGTCCACAGCCATAGGATCCAAAATTGAACTTATTCATTATTTATTTATTATTTGCATTTATATACCACCCTAATAGCCCAGAGGGCTCTCTGGGTGGTTTACAAACATTAAAACCCTCCAATCCTAAACAAATAAATAAATTGGCTATACCATGACAGTATAAAATAACATAGTTAAAATGAATTAAATAAATAAATATACCATTAAAATTAATTAACTTTAAAATATCGGTTAAATAAAAAAGTCTTGACCTGGCGCTGAAAAGCATATGATGAGGGTGCCAGACAGACCTCTCTAGGGAGCGCATTCCATAGTCGGGGCGCCACCGCAGAGAAAGCTCTCCTCCAAGTACTCTGTCTCCTAACCTCTTTCAAAGAGGGTTCCTGCAGGAGGGTCTCTGCTGCCGACCTTAGGGGGGGGGAGGGCATATAGGGAAAAAGACGTTCCTTTAGGTATCCTGGTCCCAAGCCATTTAGGGCTTTATAGGTAATAACCAGCACCTTGAATTGAGCCCGGACTTCAATGGGAAGCCAAAGGAGCTGATGGAGGACTGGAGTTATGTGAGATGTCGAGTTATGTGATAAGAGGACTAGAGGACCAATCCCCAACAGCATCCTGGCAGCTCTATTTTGCACCATCAGAAGTATCCAGGCCGTCTTCAAGGGCAACCCCACACAGAGTGCATTACAGTAGTCCAAACGGGAGGTAACCAGTGCATGTGTCACTGTTGCCAGGCAGTTCTCCTCCAGGTAAGGACGCAGCTGATACATCAGCCGGAGCTGAAGGAAAGCACTCCTCGCCACCGCTGTCACCTGGGCTTCCAGGGACAGTTCCGGGTCAAGCAGCACTCCTAAACTGTGGACCCTGTCCTTTAGAGGGAGTGCAATCCCATCCAGGGCAGGGCCCAGGTCACTAACCCGGAAACTCGAATCACCGGCCAACAGAACCTCCATCTTATCTGGATTGAGCTTCAGTTTATTGGCCCTCATCCAGCCCATTACCTCGGCCAGGCACCGGTTCAGCACAGCCACTGCCTCACCCGGATTAGTTGAAAAGGAGAGGCAGAGCTGGGTGTCATCAGCATACTGATGACTCCGCAGCCCAAACCTCCTGATGACCTCTCCCAACGGTTTCATGTAGATGTTAAATAGCAAGGGGGACAAAATGGATCCCTGCGGTACTCCATGGCTGAGTTGCCGTGGTGCAGAGTCAA